GTGCAACACAAGGAACGTAAAAGGGCTTTGGAAGTTCTGACTCTGCAAAGTTTAAAATGCACAGAAGACTGAAAAGATATCTGGCTGATAACAACATGACGACCAACGGACGGTTTCTGTCAAAAACAGTATAACCTTCCAACAACTCCAAATGTGACATCACTTTAAACGTTTTACATTATAAACACGTTGCCAACCAAGCAGCGGCTCTGATAGAAACCAATGGACACTCGAATCAAATATACATCCTCTGTTCATGCTGCTCTTCTATTTTAACTGTATTTTAACTGTTTTGGAATTTACTTGTATATAAGGCAAGTTTGGGGGTCCAGAAAGTGGCCCAAGAAATAAAATGTATAATTAATTATCAGCACCAATACAAAATACAGATAAATGGACTGGATCATAGCCAAAATAAATATGAGACTATACATCCCTAAGTTACACAACACGGACAAAATGCAGAACGGTAAAGGATTTGTATCAATTTAAATAAAGCCCATGGCTTTTCAGGTCTCTTTGTTTTTTACCATTAGATCTTTTTCATGTAGTTTTGAGTTGACACAATGGTTTAAAAGTGAGTGTGTCCGGTCACTACTGGTCAAAAACCACAGCTGATTTTGTTGTAAGGCCTGCATTATTCCAACGGGGCATGACGACAAAGGCTTAAACCAGAGTGAGACAATCATAAGTGATAACACTGTGTGTGCCATGCCACGGGGCCAGCTGGCAGGGACCCACACTGGCATGACAGAATGTGACAGCGGATCTGCAGAGCGGGGACTTGGGGAATCCCGGCACAATAATGCTGATGGCAGGAGCTAAAGCTGAGATTTAATCACAGCCATAACCCACCTGCCGATAGAAGAGTGCACTGTGATATCCATGGCAGCTCCAGCTGTCCGTCAGCCCTTTAATGGTGGCAACACAATGACAATGTTATGCAGAGAGCAGTTGTGACCAAATCTGTGGCCAAACATGCAGGAAGTGGTCTGATAATTTTAGACATTCCTCTATTAAAAGAACAGACAGGAAATAGCAAGCTTAAAGGTTGTAGAATTTAGTTTAATGTTGCCAACATTTTCAGGCTTCTTCTCTGATAGGAAAGAAGAAAAGACATAATAAATAACTGTGTGTACTTACAATAGCACATCCACCTTCACTCTAGTTCAGGCATGTCCAAACTCAGGCCCGGGAGCCAATTGCGGCCCTCAGTGTCATTCTATGTGGCCCTCTGCCTCACTAACTCAAAGTAGTCTTTGAGATCATTGACACAAGTTCACTGTGTCATCCATCCAACTTCAGCTCAGACAATATAGACCTCGTTCTAAAGCCCAGTACGTCTAAAATTCAGTCGTTAACTTAATTTACTGTACTGACATGGTTATTGATTGTGTCATTAATGGTGCTAATGTAGCTGGTGAGATGGTAAACATGTGTCACTCAGCCAACTTCAGCTCTGTTATAGATCATCATAAAGCTCAGAACAGCCCGATCCCAGTCAAGACAGTTTTTCAGTCTGTGTTGTTGGCCCCTGGACTAGTCTGGTGAACTAAAATGGCCCTCTCACTAAAAGTTTGGACACCCCTTCTCTAGTTTACTGATGGTGATCGTCAAACGATGACAAAGCAACGGCAACATTAAACATTTCTGGTGATAAATAAGATTGTTACATTAAAGGTGTTGGATCTGATGTGACCACATCACTGAGGAAAACTGTATTTTTCAGACTCAGATTTTTCAGATTGTTGTCAGATTGTGGAATATTCTAAAATCAAAGGACTGTAACATGCAATTTATTATTTTGTTTTCTTATACAGTTTTTGAAGAAGACCTGGTGAAAAGAAATGCATACTTAAACTAATGTATATTCAAATCAATAGATTATTTGTAATAGACTCTCGTGCAATAATATTGGAGTAAACAGTCATAATCTCTGTGGGTTCAGAATGAGACTAAAAGTTATCAGATAAAGTGGCAGTGCACACATGTGGTCCCATATTGCTATCACTTATATTGTAGCTGCAAGATTATGACCTGTTCATCTGAATCATTGTGGAACAAGGTACATTTCTTTCTTTGATCATGAAAAAAACAAACAATACGTAGAAAGATTTAAAATGCTTGTCAAACCAATGACATTTTCCCTATTGTTTCAAATCTGCAGTGTTTTCAGACGCTGTGTGCCAGCCTTTGATCACCGTCCAATCCTGCTACAAATGCTCTTGCTTCATCAAGAGCTGCTTTCCTCCAAGTATTTACATTCTTTTAGCCGTGTCGGAAATCAAGGAAAAATGTAGATTATACCAAAGCACTGTCGGTCTGAAGTGGAGCGTGCTTGGTGATTTTAACCAGAACTTTTTGGTGTCTCGGACCGACCTCCCTTCAATCACATATAATCACGCACGTGCACGCAAATTTACACACACACATCCCATCAAAGAGGTGGTTCTGCTGGGAGCTGACAGGTAACGGTCCTGTGGTCGCAGAACCAATCACCCTCTGTTTACATTTGGCCAACGGCGCATGCTTTCGCTCAGGTGCCCACTGCAGACGTTTGGACTGAAATTAACCGCTATCAGAGTTTTAAGCAAATGAGACGCACTAGTTTTTTCATTTACCAAAAGTAACTTGTATTTATTCTCAGAGCTCAAACTCGCTTCGCCGTGATAGATGCTAGAGGGTCATGGGTAAATGTGGGGGCGGGGTATGAGTTTTCCCATCGATAATTCTCGTTGTTTGTCCGAGAGTCTTGTAAAACTAAAATGTTGAACAAATGAACAAATCAGACCATAACATTCTGTCTTTGTCTGATTATAAAACATATTATTGTTTGCATACTTGTAAAGAAGAGCCCTGTGAGTCACTATTTGACTGTTTGGGTTTGAGGGACTTTCCTATTTAATAAATACATTTTGTATACAAGTGTTACATTGTATTTACATTTTCACATTGGTTTGCATGCATCACACTTTACTTTTTGTTCCTCATATCCCCTTTTCCCTTGTGATAGGCAGAGCTAAAAAAAAAAGATTTGACAGGTATCACAAATCAGATGGATTGATAATACTTCCCGTTTTTGTGTTTTGAGAGTTTGGTAAACCAGCTTTAAATTTAGAAAAAATATTTGATAACTAAACTGATGCTAAACTGGTGCGAGACAGGTTAGCATTGCACTGTTGTTGCCATAGCAATCATATGGCAGTGCAGCAGCAAAAAAGATGTCATTTGAGCTGAATGTAAATCTGGGTAATCACTTTTCCAAGCTTTGTTTCTGTGATATATGGGTAATATTCTGGATTCATTTACAAATTATCCCTTTGTTTACAGGGATTAAATGTAGCTCAAAACCTATTCACGTTCCTTTTTTGGTCCGGACTCCCCTGATTTGGCTCCTGCACATGTTTATGCTTCTGTTCAGGCTCTGACAGCTATCACTTGTGACACCGAGTGGATGTTTTGCCCTGTTTCATGCTGTAATCACTTCCCTTGATGCTAAATGGGAGACCGTGACTCTTGCGATATTTACATGTTTACTCCGACAATTTTCCATCTGTTGTTACTGGAACAATCAGCCACAGGCCTCGGGAGAAGTGCAGGCTCTAAGTCGTGCTCAACTTGGGTTTCATGATTGAGAGGTTGCCCTGATTATGCTTAAGGGAGTGTATTTTTGTCAAAGGCCTCCTACATGTGAATTATAAAACTGTACTTAAAGCAGCACTAACGGTTATGATCAAAAATATTGTTGTCGTATTTAAACGTTATTGTCATCCGTGCCATGAGACAATAAAACTTAATACATTCTCGGAATAATGATATGCCCGACTTTGCTTCAGAGTATGTAAACAATACACAAAGCAATCATCTCACAATGTCCAGGCAAAAACATTCACTCGCAGCAACAATCAAATGAGGCAAGTGGAGTTTATTTGTAGAGCGCAATTTGTACACAAAGTAAGTTAAAGATAGAAATCCTTTATTGGTACATGCCATAATTAAATATTTACAGTAGAGGGATATAGAGAAGTTACTGTATGTTCTCAAGTCTGTAATAGGTTTTCATGTACAGTGGCATGCAAAAGTAATAATACTGTTACTACCACATTAATTGACTAAGACTAATCCATTTTTTCATTCATTCAAGATATTTCCATGAATTGATTACCAGAACATGAACAACACTAATCCATCGAATGAAATAACATACATTCGTACATATATGTTCAAAAAAGGGAGGGGTGAAGCAGATTCTTTTAAACTTCCGACTGCCCTCACTTTATTCCCCTTTATTTATCCATTTTTCTGGGGGGGGGGGGGGGGGGGGGGGGGGGGGGGTCTTCAGGCAAAGTGGGGTGAAGTGTCTTGCCCAGGGACACACCGACAGCAGAGGTCAGTGGGACAAGGTGACATGGGTTGTGGGAGGATCGAATCCACGACCAAATTAGGTCCACAGACCAATGTTCTAAACACAGCCCCAAACACCCTCTGACCCAACACCCCTCCCAACGCTGCTCGCCCTGTTCTGAAGGCATCACTCTCTTTTCTCCATGTACGTATTCAGTACTTCTCTTACACATTTGCCAAGACCACAAAACAAAGTAACAGACAACTGTGAAGTGAAAGCTAAATGATACTTTTGTTAATTAAAAAAGAAAAGAAAAGCAAGAGGGGGTTCCACAAAGAATTATCTCGTGCTAACCGGGCTTTTCAGATTTGTTTCTGCAACGTTTTGCTTTCACCTTTGCAGTTATCTGTTATTTTTGTTGTGATCTTTCATGGAAAAAATAATCGTTATGTTTGCGGTCATAAACGAAACAAAATGTGCAAAACTTCATCTTGTATTTGTACATCTGCAAGCCACAGCCATTTAAAAATAGTCCGATGTGACGCAGATAGGAAATGAATCTATTAAGAGGCTCTGATTAGATCTCTTCAAACACTGCACACATGTTCTCCAAACAGAAAAATGCAAAATAGCCCGAGTCAAAAGAAAACTATTACTACTGAGAAGTGAAGCTAAACCCCCAGGAGCCAGGAGAAAGGCCGATACTGATGACCGTGTGGATAGAAGCCGAAAGAAAGCAAAGAAACACGTCGGGATGAAAGGTGGCCCAGGTCCCATGCGAGGCGGCTGCAGACGGAGCGGGGTCCGACGTCGCCCTGCCCCGCCTCACGTTTCCCCCCGAGCCGGAAGTGGAGCGTTTCCCCTGGCGACAAGCTCTTCCTGCAAAATAAAGAAATCATTAGAAAGTTGACAGCTGGACCCGCCGAACGAAAGCCCAGAGGTGGGGAGGGGTGAAGGGGCGGTGGGTGGAGGTCCGAGAGGGAGCTGCCACCAGACGTTAGCTTCCAAGCGATTCGGTCACCTCCTTCACAACGTAAACAAGATCGCGACGCCATGTCAGAGCTGGTTCTTACGCTGATTTTTCTTTTTCTATCTGCGATCATAATGCGCTTATTTGACACTTGGCCTCTTGCATACTTTCGACTTGAACTCCCCCAGGACAGAGAGCGGAAAGGGTGGAAATATTCATGCCCTTAGAACGACGCAAACACGGAGATTGCATAGAACAGACTTGACCCCTGGCAGTGGGGGCGTGTGGCAGACCGTCTGGGGCCTCTTGGTGAGCGTGGCCTTCTGGGAGCGCCACATTCCTGCCCTCCAGTGCGTCCAGGGCGCTTGGTTCAAAGAAAGCGAAGAGTGAACGTGAGTCTGCCAGACAAACGAAGCCAAAGAGCTGAAGGACTTATGAAAGCATTAGGAGAGCTCGGCCCAAAACCATCAGCGCTTGACCTCAATCAAAATTACACAGCACGGAAGATATTCTTAATCCCAAAAGATAGTCTCATTTTGGGATTAAGGGCCTTGAAGGGATAAATGATGCTGTCTTAGGAGAAGATGATGTTCTCCCTGTGTAAACCACCTCTTTTGAGATGTCCTTACTTATATTTCTGTTATTCTTCTCTGAAATAAATACATCTATGATACCCAGAACTAATCAGAAATTCATGCACAGTGGGAATTCAACATAAACATGCTAAAATAAACATGAAGCACACAATGTGAAGAGACCCACTGCAGAGCATCACAAAGTGTTCCTTTGGCCTGGCATCGAGACAACCACCATCGTTTGGTGTCTTCTACAGAACTATCAAGGGAGATTTTAGATAAATACTCAAATGCTGTATTTTGTTCCTCAAAATACCCGGTCCATCACCACATCCAAAAAAAGAGAAATAATGTGAGCCCCCTCAGTCACTGTCTCGGGTTATGACACAGTTCCACATGCACAGAGGAGAGGATTATCAACATGTGGATCAGTGCTGTGGACAAACTTATATCAATATTGGAGTTGTGTTTTTGTCGAGTGAGTTATATATGTATCTGTTGCATTTATTCCTGGGATTGTGTGTGTATAGAAACACTAAAATGAGAGTATTCACACATCTGCTGGACAGGACAGTGACCACATGACCAAACACAGCGGACACCTCCAGCTGCCAACTCTCTGTTGCCATGGAGCTCAGGAGGAACATATGTTCACACCTGCTTGTGCTCACTCATGGAGATGAATGTGAATGTTTAAGTCACACACCACACAAACACACACACACACACACACACACACACACACACAGGCAGTAGTGGATCCTGTCCCTCTAATGGGCACTGATAAAAGACAGACTCCATCTCTCACTCACTGTGAGGACGGGGCGCTCGGGGTCAGCTCCTCTGTGACCAGCTCCATGTGCTGCTGCATCTACACACACACACACAAACAAGGACAGAAATTACACACTAATCAATCATATGTGCATGTATTTATGATGAGTTTACCTCTCTTTCAGCCTTTTGTTTTCCCCGCTTTTCCATAAACAGACATGGTGATCAGTCTAAAACATGGCAAAAGAGACACGTGATTGGTGCTGAGCATAATAATTGACCGTGAGGTAGACCAATTATTACATGCACATGACATTTTAACTGGTTCATACATCTCTCTAAATAAGATTAATAGAACAATGACACAGAGAAAGCAGTTTCATAACTTTTAACATTATCTATTTCAACAGATCTCAAGTTGGAAAATCACAAGTGACTGTAAAAACCACATTCCCAATGCGTATGTTCAAACCTGCACATGCACATTCAGAGAGGCCACTGTAAGTGCCTTTAATAAGTTTACCTCTGACTCCACAAGTGTTTTTCATTGGCCTGTGCCGCCCGGAGCAGCCTCAGCTACTCTGCCTTTCTGTGTGTGTCCTGAAGCAGCGACTGTAAAATCCATTTGGGATACTAAGCTCTTAATGATGAGGGGATGCTGAGGTAAGGCAGGTACGCTGACGTTTCCCTTCAGCTCTGATGGTTTTTGGATAGGCCTAACTCTTTTGGATGGGCCAAACACAGCACATGGTAATATTTATTTGGCCGGTTTGGGATAATGGGACTCTTTGCTTTACCCCCCAGTCCTATTAGCTATAGATATGCACTATTAGAGGTCCTCACTATAGTTTATACAGAGTTGAAAGCATTCGGTTGTTTACAGAAACCTAAATGATTGGGATTTGGAAAGTATTGTCATCACAGTTAAGACCGGGGAATGGATACGAGAAAGTTAATGCAAGTAAAGATCGCTGGGTCTGGTTCACAAAGTGGGCAGAAAAGGGCCGTATGTAAACAGTAGAATGAGATGCTTTACTGAAATATGTGTAATTCTCACTAGACATACTATTTTGAAGAAGTAACATTATTTTTTTAATATGTTGAAATGCCCGTCAAATATAAGCCATATGTAGGACAATTTTGGGTTTTCAGAAATGCATTTGTATGTTTTCACATGGTCTGAACTCTGCACTAGATTGTCCAAGTACGCCTCAACAAGAGTAACAAAAACATTGCAGCCAAATAGTCATTTTTCATTTCTGGTCATCCCATTGCCTCCACTGAACTAAACGACATGTGTGGGAAATGGTGTTGCTGCACTGAATTTTCCATGGCTAAAACGAATTGACAATCATAGCAACGCCTATTAGTGATGTAGCTTTCCTTCCCTGAAAACTGTCCAGGCAAATTGTGGCAGTCATCCGTCAAAACATGTAAATTCAGAAGGTTCGGCTCGGATAGACTAGATCAGGCATGTCAAACTGAGGCTCGTGGGCAACAGCCGGCCCGCAGGACAATTTTTAGTGGTCCCTATAATGATTTTCAATTATTAACTTGCAGCATTGATGGTTCTGAGCTAGTTATGTTGTTCTAAAAAGTTATCCAAACACAGAATTAGACATTAAATAGTTAAAACAATGTGTTTAACTTTATATTTGGACCAGTTTTAGTTAAATTCAAACAATTAACACATTTTGATTCAAAAAAATCCAACCAGAAAATAGTGAAACTAGTATGGATTAAATGTACCTTTTATAATAAAAAATGTTCGCCCCCCCGACCAGTTTCTATATCTATCATTCTGCCCCTTACCGCAGTGAGTTTGACACCCCTGGACTAGATGCCATGGTGGTGTTTCATAATACAGTATGTTTGGCTTGGGGTTAACTCTAACTCTGTACTTTGACAATATTGCAATAGATTTTGTTGTATACAATAAACATGAGTTTGTCTGCGTACAGTAGCATTACTCAGAGCACTAAAGCTGATGCCGGCTGTTGTCTTGTGTCACGCTATGTTCGTCAAAATGACACACAACAACAATAACTTTTCTGTCTTTTGTAGAACAGCCCTGTAGGCCACATGCACTTACGCTTTACTCAAAGTTTCCTAAATATATTTTTGCAATTGATCAGGTCTGTCATTTCCAGCATTTTTTCAGCTGAAGAGAAGGGAGGGGACACTAACAAAGCTCCGAGGTGTAAAAATAGCCCAGGGGTAGGAGTGTGCATTGTGTGGCGTCTGAATACCAAAGGGAGGAGTGCGCAGAGCGAGGCTGGGAATCACCCCAAGGGAGCAGGGTGGGGAGGCAGAGGCACGCACCAGACAAAGTCCAGGTGACAAGCCAGTGTCAGTGTCGCCCATTATGGGACAAACGCTGGGGTATCGGTGACAGAAGAGCTGCGGGCTGTAGGGCTGCGTCAATGCTGCTGTGATCCTGACAGGGAGGAGACATTTCAACAAACACATTTAGCAGACAATGTGCAACTTAGACAAGGGACATGGTGTGGCTCTCAGGTGTTCGCAAACAGGAAGAGGGCATTTACAAATATCTAACGCTCTGCACATAATCAGAACGCAAAGACACGCATTGAGAGACAGTAGAGTCATTCCGAAATAATCCAAAAACCCTGGGTCACCTCTTAGACATTTGTTCACTGAGCGGCATGGGCTCGTGAGTTGAAACGACTCGTCCCTTTTCTCCGTCACCAGGAAGTCGTTTTTGCAAGGTCATTTAGACAGAAGTGTTTTGAAAGAGTAAAGTTTTTGCACACACGGTTTATTCCTTTATAAAGTAAATGTAGAAAATGTGTGTGTAGCTCCACATGAACGTTGAAACTGCAGTCTTTCGTAATTATGAGATTCCATCTGGTCCTGGGTCCACTGAGCTCTGACTTTAGAAGACTAATTTTTTAAGTTTATTTTTTTTAACACATTCCTGTCATCCCTGTGGTGAAAAGCTGACGTAGGTTCAAACAACATTAATGAAGGGGAAAATAGTTAATTGGTTCATAATGTACAACTTATAACAACTACAGCAAAAACAAAGGATGATCAGAGGACTCACAACTGATTATGGACAAAGAATGCAAAATGTGTGGTCAGAAACCATTGGTCACATTTAAACGTCTAAATCAATGCCCATTGTTCAGATCTATTACTGGAACACAATGTAGGCTAAAGATCAGAATGCGTATCCAGGTAAAGCATTTTCAGTTTTGATCCTGCTCAGGGCTGCATTCCTTTCCTCATAGATGGCCATTTTCCAATGACAAAACAGGACCAGAAATACTGGATTCCTTTAGCAATAATACACCCTAATGGAAACAGCCTAATTACAAGTGCAAATAACCACAAACCTTCATAAAGGATTAAATATACAAACCAGAATTGGGCGGGTTACTTTTCCCTAATGATGAAAAAGCATAACATATGTAGTTGTTAGTGAGACCGGGAGACAGAAACGCTGTGTCACTTTAGATTTCTCAGCACTGGTTTGAGCAATGGGTCGGCCAGTTAGGATTTCAAAGCAGCCACTTTTATGGAGAAAACAAAAAACAAATATTTGTCTTGTGGTTTATTGTGTTTTATGACGGCAATGAGACGAGACACAGGCTGCAGGCAGAGACGACGCATCAACAGTGTATCATCAGGACCTGACAATCAGAATCGTGACTTCATCTTCCTCTGAGCGAGTCATTTGGATAACTGATGATTCTGGAGATCCTGTTACATTCATGATGCTTTCACTTAATCATATTCTTTTGTTTTAAAAGCCAATGTTAAGAGTCCCAATGACCTATAGCAGAGCGGGGCAAAATCAGACAAAAATAAGATGGCTTGTTAGTGACCACCATTTTTTATTGACATTTATTCAACCAGGGCAAGGGACTCTCTGAAATCTTGATAATTACTCCCACTGCAAGCTAATACTTACCTTATTCCCAACTCTGACCTTCCATTGTTGTATGTTTTTGATTGTTTTTATTACAGATTATAGGGGTAAACAAACCGTGAGAAACAGCCGAGCGCCCGTGCACACTTGTGTTTTCTGTCCAATCAAATGCACCTAAACACAGCCAATGAAAAGAGATCCAGACTCTTGTGTATTGTTATAACATTCGGGTCAAGCTTGCAATTATGCGTGATGATCATTTTAGCAACCTGACTTGGTAGAAAGTAACCAATCTATTCACAAGATAGCAAGAACACACGCAACAACTATGCGCCCCATCCAGTCTTCATATGTTATTATTAGGCTTGTACATGCATTAAGTGGCAGGTATCTTGAAATAGGCCCCCTGGGTACATCCCATTGTGACTGAGGCCAATCGCTCATCACCGCTTGTTGCAGTTTTGTCAGTACCCACGCCAACTACTGAAAATGAATCTCAATTTGTGTGCTATTTCGGTGGGAAGAGCAGGTGATGTGCCAGGCCTGACTTTTTTCCCTTCCACACTAAACTCTGGAGGCTACCACAGCATGCAGCGTTCCCAAAACATAGGAGCTGAGGTAAATAGTCCATCAGTGGGCAAATAAAGATCGATATGAGCTGATTAGTAAAAGATGAGGTCCAAAGCCACAGCACGCACTGTGTGAGAGAAGAACCGGTTTCCCAGGAGCACCCCAACATAGACATCTATCTTCCAGCTTTTGTTTTGGTAAAATAAACCCACATTGGACTAGAGGCAGCAATCAGTCTAGCACTGTTTAATTTGTTGTCAGCGTCTATAGTGCAGAGCGGTCCGTCTTGCTTTGTTGGTTCTTGTTGACAAACGTGCAAGTGGCTTGAAAATAGCTATTACATTTGGCATAGTCTTTGTTCCTGCTTTATATAAGTCCAACTGCTATGTGTTTTTTTCTTTCTATTTTACCATATTCCACATTCTAATCAGGCTTTGTCAACGCTGTGTCTGATTTTCATAGGAGAATATTGAAAAACAAGCTTGATTTCAACAGATAATTGAAGATAATTTGTATTAAATGGTTTTTGTAGCTTGAGTAAAACTTGTCTACCTTATAACTAACAGTCTTTCACAAAGTTTCCATCATTGGCCCATATTTTCAGGTATAGAACAGTCAACTAACAACAAGTCTTTGTTAGCTTGCTATACGCATGACAGCCATGTAAACATCTATTCATGTTCCACATGATCTGCACCTTTACTAAAACGAAAATAAATGCAGAAATGGCCTGTTTCTGATTATAGTTTGCCCCCACAATGTATTTCTTTATCATTTGAAGACAAACAGTAGCACAATTCAGGCGTATAGTCCACAACACCTGGCCTTGTCCTCAGAACACCGCACCTGCAGCCTGTTCTCAAAGTAAACTTCTCCTTACCTTCACATTTCCATGCTGGTCAAATCCTATTCAAATGTCCCCATCTAAACGCAGGGCCATTTCAAAACAAACAGCCTCAACTGACTTGCGATTGTGCATCAATTTGTGTAAGGTCTCCACAATAAATGGAAATAAACAAATGCTGCAGACGCCGATCCCAGAGTGTTTTTACTATTTCAAATCCGTCCTGGTGAATAATTTTGAGGAATGCAAAAGACAGTTAAAGCATGGGTGAAACTGAGCCAAGCTTGCAGCAGATGAAGGATTAGAGGACGTAATGCTGCGACAAATACTTGTTATTTAGTTGGCACAATGTCTAAGAGTTTCCTACAATCTCACAATTATTTCAGCTATGTGAATGATTAGAGAAGAGCAACAGATATGTGCAAGCAAATTACTCTTCAATCTGGGATGCTTAGATTTAAATACAAGCAAGATTAGCTCTAAAGTCTGATGGCAAAGCAAAGAGGGGGACAATGACAAGAGGAATTAGTGATAAAAGGCACGCAGCCAAGATGTCTTTGTGAGGAATCTATAAAGGAAAGATGCATCTATTGGTGATTATTATAAAAAGTAATGTAGGAGGGTGAATAACCAATAATACAATGTTCATGTTGATAAAGATTATGTTTACAAGGAACTAGTCAAAGCCAGATCCCTTGGTCCCTTTAATTGCACTGCGGAAATTAACCAACTTGTGCTGCTGCCGTAGAGAATGTGTAAAAATCTAATGCTCAATGAAAACGACGTGTTGTATGATTATATTTGTCTAAAGTGTGTTTATACAGTAGATGCTCCAAAGTGTGACTGCTAAGGCCAAATTACGTTGAAAGCGTCACAAGGCTCCAGAAGTTCAGCGGCGCCTCAGAAAGACGGGACCTTAAAGGGGTCAGAACAGTTTAAAGCAATGCCTAATAAAGTCTTTTAACGTTAAAGGTTCTCTTTAGTCTCTTGCTTTGTACAAGGACTCAATGTAGTGCCACTTGAGGACTCCCTGAAGACTCCTATCCATTTTCTTCCACTTCATCCGTTGCAAGGTCGCGGGGCAGCAGAGTGAAGAACAAGAGTCGTATCTTCCCTCTCTTTATACCCTCTCTGTATCAGTGCAATGACTTTCCAGTCTTCAAGCGCACTAAGAAGTCCAACAACAAATTGGAAGGGAAGCAAAAAGTCACCCTATAATGTCTGCTTTTGTTGTGGCTAAGTGCTTATATATTTTAATTTTTAAGTTCAACAAATGAAGGAAACTGAATTTGCTCATGGTTGGTATCGCTGGCACGCTGCCTGTGAAAGTGATCAGCCTTTATGGTTCCTATCAGTGCTCCTCACAGATGTGTTTCTCAGAGGTATTCAGTGTGGAGAGCCAACAGTGGGAGGAAACGCAGGTCTGCAGTCCCCGTGTTAACAATGGTCCTCCTCAGGCCGTAGAGCAGACCCAGCCAGTCGTGAAGCAGCGCGGAGATGTTATTGACCTCAAGGTTAACTCTCCTCAGGTAAGCCTCCAGATAATAGACAAAGAGCAGTTCTTTTACAGGTAGAGTGACACGGCATATCCCCGCGCCACCGCTCCTCTCGCATTGACAGATTTTCTAATTCACTGCAGATTCCCATAAAACTGGGTGGCCCGGGCCTTTTCTACCCAACAGAGAGACCATTCATGCTGGGTGGGACATAGGCCTTTGCCAAATTAACCTGGATTAATTTAAAAGCGCAAGGAGCCTTTACATCCGAATAAAATGAAGATCAATAAATTAAACGTGCAGGGTCAGGATGTCAAGTTGTAGCGATGACGGACTCCGGCACAGAGAGCTTGCGTTATTTGGCCGCAAGGGAGAAAAATGGAAGAGCTATTCTTAATGACTTTATTCCACGCCGGCGAAGTGCTTCCATGCGTCTCTCTTTACATGCTAGAGTTGCACTGCTATAAACAAGCTCATGTCTGCAAAGAATGCTCATTACTTCTCTCATTTAGTCTGCAGGATTAGTAACTGCACCACAAAAGTCATCAAAGAAACCACTCAGACTTTTCCCAATCGTGTTTGTTTTGCACTGCAAGAATTACTATTCAAAGTGTGATTTATGTCAGCCAAGATTTTCCAGTAAATTTTCACAATTTTTGATTTTGGCGACATCTTGTTCTGTTTAAAGGATATGAGTGAGATTCCTCCGAAGCATTGGGCAAAAACACTGGATTACTTCTATGCTGGAGCAGCCTAAACCTGAACCACATGTCATTCACTAGATGATCAATTATCCAGTGAGGGCAGCCTTGTAAGGAGGCCATCTCATCATGCAGCCATTAATATCTAAAGAGTGTCTGCCTGGAGATGACATATAGGACAATGGAAAGAGGTCCAGAAGACAGGAGCAGCGGCCCAAGCGCAGGCTGTTAGCAGATTAAAGAGACTTAAAGACGCAGGCTGCACATTCTCCTCCACAAAAGGTAGGACAGGTGACAGATTTACTAAAGGTCAGGCGACTCGATGTGTGGTCAGTTTGAGAGAGAGCAGTGCAGATGTCTGTATGTCAAATGCATAACTTTTTAAAGCGAAAGTAGGGATCAAAACAAGATCTCAAAACTTCTCAGTATATTTGCGTTTATGCTTAAAGGCACTCTAATATTTCGTCTTTTGTCTTTGAGCCAGTTCCCAAATACATCAAGAATAGTGGGCAATCTATCATAATGAAAAGTGGCAATTTAATTATTTTCTTGCACAATCACATGGATATTCAGACTGGGAAATTGCTAAATATTCTAGTCTTACTTCTACATAGCCTTTTCACTATGAAGAAGTGTGTTCCTGGAGGCCTGCAGTCAGAAGCAGCTCATGCGGCAGTGCCAACAGGATACTTCCTCAGATTAGTGGCGCTGTTTACACAGTCCCCTGGTAATCTAGGCCACCGGGGACATACCTGTACTGTGTCAGGGGCCGCGCTTGAGTTACACACAGGGACCATCCAGCCACAGCGCCCGCACCAGAACATGATCCACAGACTCCAGTGGGACGGGCCTGGCTCCAGCGCTGGCATTGGCACCGGGTACAGCCTGGTTTCTTCCCCCGACAGGCTGAGTGTGTATGGGGTAAACTGAAGGACTGCCACCTCCACATCCGCCCGGCCTCTTCCTGTGCTCTGGAGAGACATACTTGTGTAATTGGCTTGTCTACAAGTCCATACACAAGAGGAAGCTTCCGTTAAGTAAAAAAAGAGCCAAGCGCACTCTCTGGACTGGACAATGACAGCACACAGATAGAGAAGACTACAGCTTTTGTGCCCACGGAGGAAGACTTTAATGAAGGCCGAAGCTGGTATCAAGATGGTTTGAGAAAGTATTGGTCCATCACTCTGCCCGCTATACGTCTATGAGCCAGATCCCAAGGCCCATGTTGAGACCTGACTAACCTCATTCAAGTCCACTCTGGTCTAATGCTTGTACGGTTGTTATTATCCACTGCTCTGCTACTTTTCACAACCGAAAACTACAGTAGGCCAATATACTGTAAAACCAACACAAGAGCTCAGTTTAAAGTTCTAAGTAAAATGCATATGTGTGATGCTATGATTATGAAAGTAAATGGTTTTTAGAGTTGGATGCTCTACATGGCATGCACATTAACCATTATAGTCAGTCCGCACTGCACTGTACCTAATGGTTAGCTTCAGGTCGGCTCCAGACACGAGCATTAGCCGAGGTTGAGGATGACTCTGGAGTAAATCACTTGTAGAAAGGTGAAATGTGTCCAGCGTGGGTTAGCCATAATCCGTGCCAGACGTGTGCGCAACACCAGGGCAGCAGGTGCAAACAATTGACGCAGCTGTCAGTGAGCTGCCCTGATCTCTTTTGATATCTTAATTGTTAGTCAATCCAACAGCAATTTTGGCAACATCGCTGTCAGCCCCAGGACGTGCCCTGCCTCGGCTCCCATCTGTCAGAGCTCTCAGTGCACTGGTACACTGTAAAACACCTCAATATTCCATCGAAACAAAAACAATTAGGTTTATTTAGACAAACTGATCTCAAACGGTTCAGACGTTTGTACTTTGGGTATTTTTATATGAATGCTATTTCTTTATAATTACTATTACTAATTACTACTACTAATTAAAACTATTTATCTTGTTTTTGAGTGAGTCTTGATTTCATCATCATTAATCATAATTGATAGATCCATGCATTTTCATAGTTGCACTGTTGCAACACAAATCTCCCAAATCTACCTTATGTTATTTTATGCATTGGTCTCCCTGATTGCATCTGATAGTCCAATGTGTTTGAATACCAGAGATGTAGATATGCTATAGTTTCCTCATTAGTATGAATAGTTACAGTCATATAAGACTTTAATAAAAATAGTGCTAACAAAGAAATAATGACTTGTGTTCTTTATTGAAATGATGATGTTTTTACCGGTTTCTAAACAAAGCTTTTAAGCAAAGGAGCTTGAGATTAAAATTATGCTACAATATTTTACGATACTTTTATATCTCTACAGAAGTAGTAGAAGCCTGCAATTCTGTTCCTCACTTAGCAAACTTGCTGCGTTTTGATTTCGTATTGATTAATTTACTTTAATGAATTGCAATGATTCGTAAAACATTTCTCCGTACAAAAACAGATACAGAAAAGTACATGTTTACGTGTGCGTTGCGTTTTACAGTGTAGCCCTCTCTCCTGTTTGACATGGGATGTGTGTGTCCTGTCCAGGCCGTCCAACATCATGGAGGGAAATCATGTGTGATTGCTGCCATTTCCGCTCACTTTGTTGGGGCGGGTTCGAGGGGGAGCAGGCTAATGCTGATAATTGCTGCATTTTGAAAACTACTGGAATCCATCGGCCCCCCACCAAACCAGCCTTGGTGCGCCTCGCTTTTGGGCTCCTAAACTTTGTGATTAGCATAAGAGCGGAGAGTGTCAGCCCAGATTGAGGTGCAGGCCGTGAGACAGTCCAGACCTGCTGCTTATGGACTCAATGGGAACTATATGGAAGCTGCACATGTGAGGTTTTCATCAGACAGTAAACAGCACCACAGTGAGCTAATGCCAATCGCAGCCAAAAGTACCATCGCGCTGATTGAAGTGAATCACCACAGAACTCTACTGAGACACAGGCAAACACACTACTGCAAACATAACAGCTGATTCATGGGTAGTTACGTACGGACAGTGGTGGAATGATTACTGAATATTTGTACTGAAATTTAAGCAGAGCCATGCTTAAAAATGTAAAAGTATAAATGTATAAATTTTTGGGGAAAAATTGTCTCAGGTAGTCAATGGCGGTGATAGGAAGAGTACTTTAAACATGTATTTAGTTACAGAATACTGAATAGCTGTGCTCAAATATATTTTGTGTAGTTTTGATGCATGGTCCAATCAGAGTACTGTATACCAACGTACTGGCAATGGCTAGTGTTCTTTGGACCTCTGAACATTCATGAAAAGCTCAAATGGCATGATCATCCCCGACTCAACAGCGCCATCATGGAGTGGACCCCTAAGGCAAACCTGAATATATTGGAGTATTTATAGAGTTCCGTAAAAGAAGCCTATAACTGTTTTCCCGCACTGGCCCATGATGAACAAAAAGTTGGACATTTTAGATTGAAATTCTGTCATTGCTTTTTTAACTTAAATTAGCTTAATCCTCACATTACATCACGTAGAATAGAACCGTGATCCCCAGCCCTGGGCGCAGACATATGTCCTTTCAAATCAATGGCCTGTGCTCTTTGGTGTTTAGACGTCCCAAACATTTGAGGACATTTTGGCACATTTTGTCCAGCTCTGGTTCTCCAGGTCTTACGCAGAAGGTACACAGTAGTTGTACTTCTGCAGGTCCAGAGTAACATGTGATGGTGGCGCAGGCTCCGCTGTGACACAGAGCATGTCTCAGGATCACTTGGATCAATATTGGTGGATAAGTTGATGTTAACATTACAAACCTCTGTTGCCAAAACGTGAGCACGCTGCTGTTGTCCCTGCTCTCTCCTGTCTGCTGATTGAGTTATTGCGGTCATATCTGGCTTTACAAAGATATTATCAAAATAAATTAATCATTTTATATTATGGATTTTTAAGCCCATAGTGGAGAGGGTGACACTGTCCATTCCTTTGCAGTGCATGGGGGTACACAGAGGGGTCTTGGGAGTGGTTGGGAGTCTAGGGCGGGAACACAGAAGGCAGTCATGTGGGGTGGGCTTTTAATGCCACTTGCGGCTTTAATTGTGCTTCAGACCACAATCTGTATATTCTCTGCGCTCATACAAATCAACTCAATAACATTATAAAATGAGTAATTGATTGACTGCGGAACCTTCCGCAGTCAACCATTGGTTTTGTATTTCTTTATTCCGTCATTTTTTTTGACACGTTTCACAGCTTTCACATTTTCAACAATTTCCACAAGTTATACATCAAAACGTTCCACATGTTTGGGAGATTATTGCTATTACTTTTGGGACTTCAGCGATTTCCGGTTTTTCCGCAATCGGACAAAAATCTGCATTGAGAATTCTGCAATGCATTTTAATAGGCCCATGCATTTTAATAGGACTTCAGCTCTTTCAGACATTTCTACAGTTTCAATGATTCAACAGTTTCAAGGATTCAACAGTTTCAAGGATTTCAGCAGTTTCAAGATTTCAAGAGTTTCAAGGACTTCAACAGTTTCAAGGACTTCAGCAGTTTCAAGGACTTCAGTGTAATCATGCAACCTAATAGGGATTTTTCCATGTAAACCAGTATAATGCAACTTAATAGGGATTTTTCCATGTAAACCAGTATAATGCAACTTAATAGGGATTTTTCCATGTAAACCAGTACAATGCAACTTAATAGGGATTTTTCCATGTAAACCAGTACAATGCAACTTAATAGGGTTTTTTTACATGTAAACCAGTATAATGCAACTTAATGGGGATTTTTCCATGTAAACCAGTATTATGCAACTTAATAGGGGTTTTTACATGTAAACCAGTATAATGCAACTTAATGGGGATTTTTCCATGTAAACCAGTATAATGCAACTTAATAGGGTTTTTTACATGTAAACCAGTATAATGGAACTTAATAGGGGTTTTTACATGTAAACCAGTATAATGGAACTTAATAGGGGTTTTTACATGTAAACCAGTATAATGCAACTTAATAGGGTTTTTTTTTACATGTAAACCAGTATAATGCAACTTAATGGGGATTTTTCCATGTAAACCAGTATAATGCAACTTAATAGGGATTTTTACATGTAAACCAGTATAATGCAACTTAATGGGGATTTTTCCATGTAAACCAGTATAATGCAACTTAATAGGGGTTTTTACATGTAAACCAGTATAATGCAACTTAATAGGGTTTTTTCCATGTAAACCAGTATAATGCAACTTAATAGGGATTTTTCCATGTAAACCAGTATAATGCAACTTAATAGGGATTTTTCCATGTAAACCAGTATAATGCAACTTAATAGGGTTTTTTTCATGTAAACCAGTATAATGCAACTTAATAGGGATTTCAACAGTTTAAAGGATATCAGGAGCTTCAAATACTTCAGGAGTTTCAAAGATGTTTAAAGTATTTTAACAGTTTCAAGGATTTCAAGGATTTTTCAGCTAAATTCCACATTAGATCTGTTCCGCAGTCAATCGCAATGGCTTCAGCCATTGCAACGGTTTCTAGTTAGTATTAGTACTTTCTGGGGGCAAGTGCATTTGTCCAAAATTTGTAACCCACATTTTTTTGTACTTTGAACATAAAAGAGATTACTACAGACAAAATCTAAAAAGAATAAAGATAGATAGATACATGCTTGATCCCTGAATAGGCAAAGTGTCAGCATACATGTACATATAAGTACATATATATGTACATATATGTGCGTTGGTTGTAAAATGTATATATACTGTAGCCGCTCTCCACAAATCATAAGTCAGACGTCCAGGTCTTTTTCTCTTAATAATCATTACAGCAGGCCTGTTGAGATGGCTTTGAGTTGAGCTCCTCTTCACCTCTGCATTTTTGTTGTGAGCCCCTTTGACACATACAGCAGTTTGTTCACACACATTGTCCGACAGCTGAGCGGCGTCATTATAAAGAGATAACTCAGGCTGCGTACACACTGAGGTCTCTGAACACGAGGTGAGGCTGACCCCTGCTCTCCTCTGGCCCCAGTGAGCCAGCGCTGAGGGCTGCTCAGGCATCAAAGTGCTGCCTGTGAAACGCCGTAACTTACATTTGCACTATTCATATTTTAGATTAGTTACTTAGATTATTGGCATTCAATATAGGATTTTTATCAGGATAATTTGGACAGATCTTCAGGGAACTCTTTTCACCCCATTCAGTAAGTTTACTATACTTTGACAGTGCTGATTTTATTTTTTATTTTTTTTTTAGAGCACACTATATGTACAAAATGATTGCATCTAAACTAGTGAAAAACTCAGCTTGAATTAATTCGTCTTTATTCAGATTATACAATAGTTTGCTTCTGAAATAAGATATGCCAAGCATTATTAACGTCTGCTTCGTTTATTTTGTTTTCTGATTTGTGTACACATGTTTGAGCAAGCAAGTCTTATTTTAAGTCGAATCTCATTCTAGTCTCATACCACGAGAGGGATTCCATTCAGTCAAAATATATTGAAACCATAGAAATACATTTACTTGAAGTGCTTAACCACTATTTTGATTATTGTCAGTGACATCTAAAATATGTATTCTAATAATTTCAGTAATTGTTGAAAGAGTCACGCACACAGGAGAAAGCTAAGGAAAAGTTATGAGTTTTCTCTGGTCCTCAAGTTTGGTCTGGCGGAGTGCAAGGAGAAAAAGTAGTAAAACGCAGACTGTGAAGGAGGCAGTGGGAGAGTGTGCATGTGCATGTGTGCATGTGTGTGTGTGTGTGTATATGAGGGGAGAGGGAGGGTGTGTGGGGGGGGGGGGGTGTCCACGGGCTCCCACAGGCCTGAACTCCACAGCTGAACCAGTGACCCGGCCCATCCATCAGGGAGGGCTGTGACAGAGCAGCAACGGGACAGGAGGGGCGGCTGCTGATGGGGCAGAGGGATCCGGGGGCTAAAATGGTCCTTGGGACAGGGGAGGAGTCCTCCGCTGGGGAGAGTGAGGGTCAAGGAGAGTAAACGGCCATGAAACCTACTGTAGAGAGATGGAGACAGCTAATGCATGCGGCTGTCTGCTAAGGCCAGGAAAACTCATTAATAACATCTCCAGCACTGTCCCGAGGCAGGAAACACAAGACCTTTTAATAATTGTATTACTGATTTGAAAATGTATTATAAGTTTGGAAGAAGTTGGTGTCATATTTGATTGCATGTAAATAATCTTAACTATTGTTGTATTCACTTTTCAATTAAAGCTGGGGTGCCTGACTTTCAACCCATAAAACAAACCCCTCTAAAACAAACAGAGACAAGCAACATGGAATTTATATGACACAAAAAACATGGAATTTCAGAATAATAGAATTATAATTTGTAAAAGAAAATTGTAAAAAAAATATAATTGTTTTTAGAAAATTCCATAGAAGCAAAACTTTGAAACTGTAGACAAAAACTGAACAAATCCTACATGGACATTTTTGTTTCACTGTTTCCGCTTCTGAGTGATTTTCAACAGTCTGACCCCTCCTTGTAGTTCAGCCTTTCAGCTGTTGCCCAGGCCTCACTGTCACTTACCCCCCTACACATACACACACACACACACACACGCACACACACACACCCACACACACACACACACACACACACACACACACACACACACAACCAATGGGCAGACTGGTCCAGCATCCATCCTCAAAAGGGGCATTGGCCCTCAGCCAAACGGGGCCCCATGCAGTCACAGTGAAAGACTAGAGCAGCACTAATGGTTAACTCTGTATCAGACAGGGCTGGACTGTTTTAATATGATCCACTTTGGTACTCCATAACACATATTCATATTTCATTAGGGGCCAAAGATGGAGCCCTATGTAGGCAGCATTAGCGGTTATAAGGGTGACTGTGTTTGCCTGTTTGACACTGTGTAAAAGAGGGTTCAGATATGACGAGGGAGGGGTCTTTATGGTCTATAGAAGAGTTCACAGCCTCTGCCCAGTTAGGTTATGGCACTGCAGTCTGGACAAATCCATGAGCAAGCGAAACCTCTGTTTTAAATAGCAGGTATCTGGTGTCAGCGCGCCCTGGGAGCCCGGCCTCTCCATCAATATATTCCTTTGCCCTTGTCTCCCTCTGATATCTTTATCTTGTCAGGTCCTCTCTGCTCTATGTTCCACCTGAATAGCTTCCGTCTGTGCTCAGCCTGTGCTGGGCAGATGGACTGCTGCTCTTACCTCTCCATCCTGGGACAGGGCCTTGAGGGGGGCATGATGAGAAGATTGGGGAGAGAGTGCAGGTGAGGGCTGGGAGCACAACTGCAGGCTGTTCGTCAACCTATAATGGACAAGAAGCAATGTTAATGAAAGTAGTAATTCCAGTGCTGTTTTATAATTATGATAATTTTGTATATTTGAAATAAACAATAGAATATAGTTGAAATTCATTCTTGTGCCCTTAACGAAGGCGTCTCTATAAATGGTTCAAATTTTTGGAGGCCATCCATACCTTTTGGACCAATTTGCTGCACTGATATACACCAGCCTGTACAGTGTAGTAGCAATCATTTGTATTAAGCATGGGTCCTTGATGTAAAGAGGTTGGTATGGACTACCATAGTTTTTACAAAAAAATCAACTGTATCACTTTATTTATCAATTTACTGAATTATTTAAAACATAATTGGCCTGCAGTCTACAATAACAAGCCTTATTTAAAACCCTAACTTTGGTTTGGTTAAATCCAAGAATATCTGCACTAGAGAGGAAAATTGAAAACCCTTTGTTAAATAAAGTAATTCTTTGTTCAAAAAACCTCCAAAAAATAAAACACTGATGCACTAACAAAACAATATACTGCAGAGTTTGACACTATTTACAATACAACATATAATTGTGACAATGTACTGCTGTGCTGGACCATGCTTTTTGTGCCAAGATGTCAACATTGTGTGTTTTGAATCAGTGAGAGTTGTTGGAGCTGCTTTGTCCGACGTCTTTTCAAACTGCGTATCTATTTGTTTTGTATTAGTTTGTAAGTTTGTATAGCGGTGAAATATTCTTGTTGATTCCAATGTGTATCATGGGTTAAAAAAGACATAGAAAACGTTGTCATACTGTAGCATTTGTCTTTGGCTTTGGCAGAAGCAGGAAGCGCACAGTGGCCTTTCCTGTGATTTGGAGCTTATGGCCTGAGATGAAAATGAGTGGAGATTGTGGGAGTGACAGATGCGGCTCGGAGGGCCATTGAACAGGTCATATGTCATCACAGGGTCGCACACGCCCTTTGAGTGGGTTCCAAGGTGGGGGTGAGATTCCCACACTTCACCTGCACAGCCTCAGACTCCTCTTACCTGCATTTCACTCTGGGCTAAGAAATATAGGATTTATATGGACAGCTGTGATATCGCAAAAACCTCCTGGTACATGATGTGGTTTTGAGCAAAATGTGATTTAGTTAGAAAGAAAAGATAGAATTAACTTTAATAACTGCATTAAACTATAAATAATGACTGGTCAGAATTGTCAAATTTAAAAAAGTAATGATCAATTATTTTTATTATTGTGTTCAAAAGTAGTGCATTTGTGTATCAGTAACACTATTCCTGCAGTCATACAGTAGCACAGCACTACGAGCAGACTGGGTCAATGTCACATCCATAAATCAGAATTTTCACTGCCTCTTCCTCGCTGGTATGTCCTGGCACTCTAACGGTTTTTGACAGTGGCGCCACAACAATATTTCATCTGTGCCATTTTCATCTCTTCCTTTTCTTGATTGTGAGAGAGAGAAAGAGACAGAGCGACATCTTGGCCTGTGAGCTTCTAACAGCAGCAGAGCAGTTACCTGCTCACATCTGATACTCCTCCAGGCTGCGCTGGCTATTACATTCCAGTTGTGAAAATGTAGCTTATACAAACACAGAGTGGATCTGATATTAGCCGGCTGGTTAGTGTGTATTGTGAAAGCCAGATTCACCGGTGTCTGTCAAACGCAGACTCCTGTGGAAATCATTACCAGCTCTATAGCCGTCACTTCCTAAAAGAATTGAAGGAGATGAGGAGATTTATCACAACTATGGGTGTTTTGTTCCAATAGAATAGTATTATTCATAGAATTACATTTACAATTATCATCAATTATTGTTTTCAAAAGTAATAATACAATTGAAGGCAAGCATTCATTGTTATAGATATATACGCAGTTCCAAATACTTTAAAAATGAACATGGAGTTCATTTTTAAACCAGGCCAGGGATATATGTCAATAGGCCTGTATGAATGACTACTTTTATATTTAACAATATAATTTTATTTATTGTAATACAGTAGGCTGAATAAACATTCATGGGCCTTTGCATAGAGGCCTAATAGGCCTGAAATCAGTTTTAATGAGGCCTAGTCGAATAATAACATTGAAAATATAAATAGTAGGTTACTTGAAACAGGCATCCGACAGCAAATTTGTTCTTTGACTAATTAAACAATTATTATCACTTTATAATAATGTATAATTTCTTTTATTAAACGTATTATAAAAGTGTATTCATTTATTCTTTTTTAATCTTTTTTTAGACATAAAAACGTATGCTCGTATGCTTTTTTGCCAAACAACAATAGTATTTTCTGTAGTCTCTTCATCTCGGTCTGAAACCTGAACTTTTCCCTGTCTGAAACTCTATCGTGCTTTAGTGCAGCTCTACTGTCTGCTCTACAGTCTGCTCTACAGTCTGCACTAGAGTCTGCTCTACAGTCTGCTCTACAGTCTGCTCTACAGTCTGCTCTACTGTCTGCTCTACAGTCTGCTCTAGTCTGCTCTACTGTCTGCTCTACAGTCTGCTCTACTGTCTGCTCTACTGTCTGCTCTACAGTCTGCTCTAGTCTGCTCTACTGTCTACTCTACAGTCTGCTCTACTGTCTGCTCTACTGTCTGCTCTACAGTCTGCTCTACAGTCTGCTCTACTGTCTGCTCTACAGTCTGCTCTACAGTCTGCTCTACAGTCTGCACTACAGTCTGCTCTACTGTCTGCTCTACAGTCTGCTCTACTGTCTGCTCTACAGTCTGCTCTACAGTCTGCTCTACAGTCTGCTCTACAGTCTGTACTACAGTCTGCTCTACTGTCTGCTCTACTGTCTGCACTACAGTCTGCTCTACTGTCTGCACTACAGTCTGCTCTACAGTCTGCTCTACTGTCTACACTACAGTCTGCTCTACAGTCTGCTCTACAGTCTGCACGCTGGAATCTGGGTCACGTGACCTGCTCCTCTGTCACAAACCGCGAACATTTTATTATTGATCACAGCTTTTGTGCGAAACGACGTGACTGATGGAAGGTACTATTACTGCTCTACTCCGGAGTGGACCATCTCTGTATACACGCATTATAACTAATGCTAAATCTAAACAATATTACCCATTATATTAGTAGTATTATCATTATTATTATGAACAATGAAAATAATGGTAATTTATAGCCTTATAATATTAATAAACATAATTACTATAAAACCATAATAATACAGCGAAATTATAGTGATTTGATGTTGAAAAAGCTCTGAAGGCATATCTAGTCTGCGTTAGCAATATCTTTATATACATATATTCGCATTTATGTTACGTTACGTGGGTTTTGCATTTTCTGAATTATGAAAAAACTGCTTTGCAAAAATCCTTCGGCCATGTGCATAATGTGGTTTGTTTTGGCCAGAGGTTTGTCAATGGCGATGGACTGAAGGTAGCCATTTTTCCCTTTGCACTTGAATAGTACTATCCCCACTTATGTTGATTTTTGCACTTATATTAATACTATTATCATTATTATTATTTGCATTTTCAAATAGGTTACTGCAAATTACACAGATTTGACGGTGATAGATGTTTCAATCATACCCGGGCAGAGTGCAAACGATGCGTATAATTATGGCCAAAGTGATGATGAGGAGGTATGAAGCTCAGGAGGCGTCTGTGTCCGTGAGATCTGTGGGCAGAGCGCACTCCAGCCGCGGCCACAGAGACACCGGGAGGCCGCTGCTGCTCGGAGGAGACTGCGTGTATGTTTACTGCCATCTACCGGTGAGATAGGGGAATGTAAAACAGGCCCTTTGTCTTTTTGATTAATCAGTGAATGAAGCAAGTTAATGAGCCATACAGTTTCAGCCACTTCACGATGTGAATAAGATTACAGTTTCTAAATGTACTATGGATGATACTTGGTCAATATTGTAAGCCTTAAGTAACAGTCACAATTTACATTATAAGATCTGATGCTTGCTGCTCTTTTATCAGCATCAAAATCAGTTTATTTTCCCATTGTGAGTAATAGGAAGTCACAAAGTTGGAGTTTTTGATATTTTAGGTTGTAGGAGTAATAATAGGTAAAGGCATGCATACAAAAATCTTCATAACATTTTGTAAAATTAAACATGAGCATAAATAAACACACAATTGACATTTAGCAGTGCAGCAAAGTGACAGTAGTATAAGGCGACGGTCGTGAGGGGCAGGGGTCAGTGATGAGTTATGAAGTATTCCTGAGACCGTGCCTATTGCGGCAGATTGTTCCTCTTGTGTTGCTGATTGATATTCTCCCATCTTCCATCTTCAATCATGCCAACCCACACCCACATTTTGACCCCTGTATCCTCCATCCGTCTCATTAAAACACCAATCTCTTTCTCTTGTGCACCCACTATCTCAAACCTTTCATATCTCATCGCCTTTTGAATATTTGGCATACATTTTGATCTGAAAGGTGTGATTCTTTTTCCCATATTTTCTCTTGCTTAGTTTTGGCTGCCGTCTGGAGCTCTGCGGTCCCTGTCTGAATACTTGGGTCGTGTGAGAGAGAGCAGAATGATTTCCTCTACCCACTGCCCTGCGCACATGCTAATAAGGGACGACCACTGGCATGTTTTTAGAAACCCGGAGACGATGATGTCACCAGAGAGCTTTATCTGCGTTTGGGATCTGACAGGGCATTGGATATGTGTGTGTTCATGCTTGTGTGTGTGAAGAGGAGGGGAGGGGGGTATTTCCTTTGGTATAGACTCGGGGGGCCCAGAGGTGAACCCGTGGCTTTAGCAGGGAGCCTGTTTAAGCAGATTACTCAGTCACCACACCTTTGTTTCATTATAGGTCGCAGTGAAAGATCCTTCAGTGACTTGGGACGTCCCACGAGAACCCACAGATTGACACTTTGGGGGACTATACTTCTGTTTTGGATAATGCAAAAGTATGAGACACCGTGTGCACTCTTGGACAGGGTTATCGGTGTGCAGAAATCTTTGCTTACTTTTACACTGGTTTTCGTGGTAGTAAAGAAAGGTATTGGATGATCTCAAAGCTGGGATACCTCACTTTTTTCTATCATAAGTAATACATAGATGTACAAGGCTGATAAAAGTAAACAAATTGGTCGACAACAGCCTGTATAAGCCTTATGAGAACATATTATTGTTTGCAGACTTGAAAGAAAGAGCCCTCTGAGTCTCTATTCCATGCTTTGTGCAGAGAGCTGATTGGCTGAGGCAGGGTGGTCCTATTTTTTTCACTTTTCTTTCTGCAAATGCTGATCTAAAGTGCAGCCGAGGCCGAAAACACATGCATGTGTAAATCAGTGATAGAATCAAAATTGTTTTTAGGAACGATTAAGATTAAGATCAAGCGAAATTTAAGTGTTTTGTCACAAGTCACAGACAAGAGAAATAAGGAGCACACAGCACAAGATAAATGAATAATAACTGTATGCTAAAATAAGCATAAAAAGAAGCAGTATGAAATCTCTATCTTTAGCATAATAAGGGAAGTCTAAAATCTACAACTTTAGCACGATGATGAAGAGTTAAGTACGAACACTTTAGCATAAGAAGCAAGTATATAATATGGATGGATATTATCACATTGTTTGAAACTGGTTAAAAGATTTAAGTAAAAAAAAACAGATTTAACCCTAGTGGTCCTATATAACTTTATTTGAACAATATCTTAAACCAACATGTGTGTTTTAAGTAAGAAGTAGGTGGTCCATAAAGTGCCTTACAGTCACTTGTAATGAATAATTACTGATGAAAAGTCTGATAACGTGACATGATATCACTAACAGCCCTGACCAATAATGGCATGCACATGTAATCAGATAAAAGTAATGACTGCCTCATACATAATTTATCATCAGATCCAATGAACTGGACAAATGACACTTAGCTGCAATTTAAAAAGGAGTCATGACCCTGAAATAATAACTTTTACCACAATTGAATTTAACTTGGGCCGAGTGGTTTGGCTAAATGTTCTGCAGTGGATAAATGAACTTGTATTTGATTTGCCCTTTGTCTGTTGCTTAAAAGTGAAACTGACAGACACGGTGCATTCCAAAGCCAGCTACAATATGGCTGATTTTACTGCCCTGATAAAATAGCCTCTGGAGTAATAGTTACAGACAGTTGCTCCGTTTTATGCCCGTTCGGCGACAAAGCAAAATCACACATCCCATTTCCCACATGGGACGATACACTCCTGACTCCAGCCCCAAATGCGTTTTATGGACATTTCCCCTTACTGTACAGATGGGTTAAATATTACATCAAAGCATCTTTAATGTTGCGCAGCGCCTCTCACGTTTCTCTGTGGTGTCGAGTTAAAAACTGGCGCGGGCCGCATTTTTACAGTAGATTTAATGGATCAATGTCTATAATCACATTAGCACTGGCTTAACATAGAACAAATTTTAGCGTACAGGCATCAAAGACAGAACCCACTGCGGTAATCAGCCGTAGCATCTTGTCCTCAGCTGGAGACTTCTGATAAAGGAGAAAATAAAGTTGTCAAGGGGGCGATAAGTTGTGGGATATGCAGACTGCTGAGTGCAAAGTGTGAGAGAAAAAGTTTTTGTCTTGAAGAATAGATTTGAAGTTGGGAGATATACATTTCTTTCCTAAATAATACTTGTTGTTTGTCCTAAGAGAAAAAGTAAAAGAGGGTAAAAGGGAATGTTGAAATCAAAGCAGTATCATATATGGGCGTGGATAGCACTCTTGCCTCTCAGCAAGAAGGTCCTGGGTTTGAATCCCGGTCGGACCAGGGCCTTTCTGAGTGGAGTTTGCATGTTCTCCCCGTGTCTGCATAGGTTTCCTCCGGGTACTCCGGTTTCCCCTACCACTAAAAATATGTACAATAAGTCTGGCATGCGCCTCCTGTACTGGCGACCCCACTCCCATCTCTGTGTGGAGTGAGAGGGCAAGTGCCCAAAAAAAAAATATACCAATTGTAAACTGCTTTGTGACTCTGGTCTGTGAAAGGCGGTATATAAATAAGGATTACTTACTACTCACTATAGTAGGAAACATGCCATAGCCGCAATATCTTTTCCAAACGTTTTAGAAAGAGCCCTGTGTGTCAGTATTTTATGGTTTGGGCTGAGAGCTGATTGGCTGATTGAGGGTGGTCCTTAATTTTTCACTTTTCTGTCTGAAAAAATCTGATGTCAGGATGTGACAGAGAAAAAATACATGCATGTGAAAGACAAAAAAAGTAATGATAGCTGTACTGTATTTAACAGAACCAATCTGTTTTGAGAGCGAGAAACTAGTTTTATTTATGCAGATTTTATTACATACATAAAAATATTACATCAAAGCAAGTGAGATATCAAATTTAGAGGAACAATTTTTTTTATCATTTTTGTTGGGAAAATTGATGCATCAGCTCACAAACATTGACTATTGCCATTTACCTCTACTATGTGCAATATTGTGCTACTAAACCAAAACAAGAACTGTAAAAAAAAATATGCACTATTTATGCCAAAATACACAAAAGTGACTGCTTTGGGATTCAAACTACTTTTCACAATAAAACTCTACTCTACCTTTTTTCTGTTTTTTTTTCACAGCTAACTACATCATCTTCTCCGCCATCTTCATCTCTCCAAAGCCAGTGACAGGACAACAAAAGCCCCCAGACAGACAGACAGGCCGCAGACAAACTAAAATGGATGTCTTCCACTGAGACGTTTGCGGTGACGTCGGGTAACAAACATGCTGCGTTCCCTTCGGCCAGGTTAATCAGCGGTCTTTCCTGTGTCCGCTGTATATACGCCTCACTGTGCGAATCCATTGGTCATTCATATTATGCCATTTTCCCTCCGCTCCTGATTGTAGTTGCTGTACAATGACTGTATGCATGAGGTGCCTATAGTCTTCCACCCTGCACTATGTAAATAAACAGGACCAGTCCATAATCCATCATCCCAGTGCAGTGGGAGCGTGCCCAGGACTAACACGGCTTCTGTTTTCTATCTGTGGACAGAGAATAAGAGTCTGTGTGTTAGAGCTCGGATGGGTCGCACCAATATGTTACTGTATAATGAAACATAAACCGACTTAAATAGATTATCGGAATGAGCTTTCTCTTCCTTTCCTGTCGCTAGAACATAACGCAGTCCACTGTTTTTATTACCTCCAGTCAAGAGCAACTGTTTATTCGTTCAATAAAAAGACTATATTTTGCCAAGCACTCATAATTTACAGTTAAAAATGAGCTGCTGACAAATTCTAGGCAGATTCCTTAAACTGGCCGGTGCATTGGGGCAGAAAGCTGTGATTAAACACGGTTACTTCCTGCTTTAGCAATTAATGTTACTGCAGCGGACAACTCGCAAGCCGAGTGGGAGCAACCAGGTGTGTGTTCTCTGTCTAAAGAGTAGCCTGTATTTTTATAACCTTGTTCTCTAAAGTCCATTCATGTTCAGAGTCAGACCACGCTGCTGAAAGATGTAAAATGGGACTGCAATTAAAGGAAATGTGGTCTAAATATATTCAAAAGAATCAACACAGAATATGCTTTGTGTATGAGGTTAATTAGTAGAATAATGGCCACTTTAGGGTAAGAACTTGCTTTAGTTGAGCCGTTAAGTAAGTGTGGCTACTATAATTCTGACTATTATTCATGCAAAGACGAGGAGAAGTGTCTTGCCAAGGGAAACAACAGTACTTTGGCACGTTTATTTGTACAGCACAGTTCATACACAAGTGCTTAACCCAAAACAAGATAGAAACAATCATACAAGGCTGATAAATAATCACAGTGCATTAAAATAAGCGATGATACAATCCTTTCAATACAATCACTTTGCACTGTTAAGAGCTGGTGTCATACTGAAAACTGTCGGGCATATGTCAAAAACTGCTATGACATGCTATTGTGCAGATATTCCTGTGGCTAAATAAAACCTATAATGGGCCTGTAGAGCCATAATCTGTAAAGTCTTGCTAATCTGCCACCTTGCACTGTGTTGCATTGTTGTGATCTGTAAATTTAGTTTTGGTGCAAATAACGGACATTCGTTGGAATCTACAATCTTCAAAATAGAAAGCAAGTTGATCAGAAAGCACTCAATACATCCTTTAGAACTGAAAATAACCCAATGATTCATCGAGCAATAATTCCTTCAATTCATTGATTAGTTGTTCGAACATAAATGTGATCTCAGTTTGACCCATAACAAGCGATACAACATATAAAATGAAACCACCAGAGGACATCATAATAGTAATCCAAGACATTAATATATATGTGTAATTGCTGCCTTATTTAAGCCTTACAATCAAATATCTCAGCACGTTCATGTTTTGAAGTCTGTTTATAAGGCAGATCAGTACTGTATTATTTCTGATTCATTGATCGATCGTTGATTCAAACTAGACCTCTGTTAGTACCATATGAACCAGATCGGACTCTGAGGAGCACAGGGACTTGCCTCCTGCTGGTGCCCAGAGTCAGACCTAAACATGGGGAGGCTGCATTTCAGATTAATGCAGCTAAAATTGGGAACAGTCTTCCTGAAAATGTGAGAGCGGCTTCTTCTCTGACAGTGTTCAAATCCAGGGTAAAAACAGTTCTATTGAGCTGTGCGTACAACTGAGGGATTTTATCTTCTTTTAATGTCTTGTGTGACTGTCTCTATCTTGTTTTGTTCAGCACCTTGCCTTGCCTTGCCTCTCCATTCTTGCCATACCTACTTTCCCTGTTGCCTTTTTTTTTTTTTTTGGTCACACAATCCCACCAGCAGAAATCCACAAGGCAACAACACTTTGTACCGCACCGTATCCTGCATAATGCCTTTTACAATCCGTCCATTCACCGCACGAGTCTTTATTTACAAAACCCTGTGGGGAAACGCAATGCCACGCTCTGATCACACACCAGCCCACTGCTTGTAATTACCCAGGGCCTGCTATCCAATCTGTCACTGACCAAACTCATTTGTTAGTGTGCTTGTACTGTGATTAAAGAAACTCCCGACTGGTTGAAAGAAAGGGCCTTCACCTACAGTACCTATGCCCCCTCTTTTTCTCCCATGTTCCTTATTTAGGGAAATCTCAGGCCCGGTTTGCACAAATCGCCAACATCGCTCAAGCGTTCAGAGCACTACAGTGGAGTTATAATAATTAAAGACATACAGCATTTCAGGGCTTCATTAATCATGGTTTATATAGACTTTGAAGCCCTAATAGAAAACAGCCTGCCTTTCTGGAATTGTTGTGTCTCTACAAATTGCGGCACTGCAGCGTCCGCCAGGAATGCCCCCCCCCCCCCCCCCCCCTTCTTCCTTTTCTACCTTTTTTTTTTTTTTGACTGGGCTGCAACAGGATGCGGTGATGGAAAACACATCGAGAGATAAGATTTGGGGGAAAGCAATAGGACGAGAGATGTCAGAAGGTCAGGACTGTTTATAGAGCACTGGAGTGGGTTTAATTAGAGCAAACTGGACAGCTGACAGGGACGGACACAGCCGCACAGATGTGTCTTGGATTTTGATGTTAACGAAAAGGATTACAATGAAAATCGTCCTAAACAAAAAGAGTCTAGTGAAAGTCTTCAGGTTGTCTTTATCTTATTGGAAAAAATATATATATTTTTGCATACTTCTGTCGCTTTTGGATGAGAGCTTTTTAGTTAGTTAGTTATAACAAAACTTTTGTTTCAATTTAGTTATTAAGATCCCCATTGGCCAGTGCAGTGACTATACTTCCTGGGGTAACGTCCAAATCATTACATTATACATACAGTATATTCATACACAATTGATATGATACACCTACGTGCTGTAGGTGTATCATATCAATTGTGTGTGTCCTCTCACACACACATGAAAGCTGTGTGAGGGTGATCCTCTCTGTTTCTGTTTTCTGAAAAGAAAAAAAAATCTAAGGATGTGACGAAGGCTAAAATGTCTGCATGTGAGAACTAGTGATAGAACTCAGCATCTATGTTTTGAGATATATAGATATTATTAGAACATTTGGGAGGAAGATTAATGAAATAAAACTAGTGGACAGTGTAGTCCATGTGCAAAATGTGAAAGACTGGAATAGCATTATTTTAAATAAAATAAAATAAAACAAAGAGCATCCCTTTTGGTTTTAGTCTACTAGACCATATGGGTTTTGTGAATTTTGGGAGCACTTCTTAATAGCATCTGGATTCAAACAGGAAATTAGAATGATTGTCTCGGCTGTTCAACTAAATGCATAATATCAATCACGGTCCACGATATGTACTCTGCACTGTCGTAACCCATTTCCTCTCCACCACAACCTCCACACTTAAATTTGTCATTTTATAGAGTGCTTCAGACACGGCCCAACAGACAGATTAAAGTAAAGTAGTCGGTGCAAATAAACAAGTCCAAAAGTTGGCTGAATTAAAGTAAGAAGAAGGTGCAGCCAAACCGAATCTTTGTGGTTTGTCAGCATGCCTCCCAGGTGAACTCATAACACTCTCAAAAACTCTTAACTTAATAGTTTCAAAATCAGTGCTCATTTGTGGATCATTGTTTCATCTGTGGCTTATCTGCCTTCACTTTTTGTATTTTCACCTAGGCCTAAAGCTTATAACATGGGATGAAGGAGTCAAGAGCACAAATATATGCTATAAATAATATGGATCAATATCATCACATGTATATATATAAAGGCATATTGTAAGCAAAAACACGTTAACCCATGTTTCCAGAAAATGTCACTCGCTGCTTAAATAAAAGGACGGTTTAAGAATATTCTCTAATATTCAAGATGGCATTGAGAAAGGGCTGAGAAAGCGTTCACAACTGGTGAGGTGTTGCCATCTAGTGGTGGAACATTGTAGTACCCTTTTTATTGCTGCAGCAACAGGTACAACACCAGTTTATACTACACCAGTGTTACTTGAACTGTGGTACATGAGTGGATGCTCCTGGTGATGGTGCCTTAACTTTATTGTACTCTGGTTATTTAGTTTGATTTATTCAATTATTAGTATACATTTTTAAATATATAAATAAATATCTAAATCACTGAATTCAGTTGTTTACTTCCTTTAATCTCCATTTGTACACAATCTGATTCTAACTAAGACCTTTTTATTATCACTAACTTAAGCCTAAAAAAAGTTGCTGTAAGAGTGGGCAGCATGGTGTCTTATTTTTTTATCATGCTTGTATCTATAGTGCTCCAGGATCAATTGTTTTGTGGGTCAAATAAATAGAAACCTTTATTTCACTTAAACAGTTGCAGAAAGCTGTTTATAAAGTTGGAAGGCCAAATATGTAGAACTTGGGAGGAATAATAGTGTCTTAGTTGCTATTTCAAGTGACAAGAGATTCAAACACCGTATAATACATTAAATAGTTGAAATTTAAAATCAATTTAAATAGTTTTAACAAGACTAAGGCCTAAAAAGTATATACATAAACATGTGTTAAGGTAGTTTTGTGAAGTATTAATAATTAGTTATTGCATTTCTCAAGGTTGTAAGAAGATTTTAATCCTCTTCTCACTTTTGTTTTCTTGTCCATCCACCTCATCTGCAGCTTGTTCCATCGATTTGGGATGCAGCAGGACATAATACAAAACTAGGCAAAATAGTCCAAGAAATAATCCACCCAAAATTAAAATATCCAACGCCAACAAGATGTTTCCGTTGAATTCTGGCTTCAGTACTGACACCAGGATTGGAGAGGTAACAGTAATGAGACTGAATATAGTGTAGTAAATACTCATAGGTATTTTTGTGTCCTGGCCTTTTACATTGAAAAAGGTGAACGTGAGAATGACTCCAACCACAGCTCTGTACAGAATCTCTAGTCCTCGTGATGAGCAAAAGTTGGTGTCGATAATATTTGTCCACATTATCATAGCAAACCACACCAGAGAAAGTGCTACTGTGCTATAACTACTCAATAATAAATAAAGGCTATAGCTGAGGACGAGGCTCGTGATGGTGCCCAGTTTGTAAAGCAGGTAGACGACAGTGGGCAGGCCAGAGGGCATCTCACTGATCCGAGGGAGTGACCTGCGCAGACATCGCCGATAATCCACCAGCGCCCAGGCAGTGCTGAGGAAGGAAAAGACCATAGACAAATCTGAAAAACACAAGACATAACACTTTGAACTCTCTTGAATTTTACGCATGTCTCATTTCTAAACTGTTTTACAAATTCCAACACATACTGAACGTCAACCCTGTGCACAGTAGTTGTGCTGAAAGGTTTCTACTCCCAGACAAAAAAAAAAGAATGTCCAACATTTTTGGCCCTATTTCAGAAACTTTGAAAGATTATTCACTTTTTTCACTCGGCGGATGTGAAGCCATTTATTGTTGAATACATTTGTTTTCTATATGGTTCTTATAAATAAACAAGGCTGGAATTATCAGCAGTGTGGGCTGATAATTTAGTTTTTTATTTGCGTGACATGAATTTGTATTGTATGTTCATTACAATTAAATTGGCTAGTTTGTGTTCTTTGAAGATAATGGAATACAAATTCTAACACTTCCAGATGGAGCAAAAGAGAATGGTTCTTTGACCAATCGAGTGTGACGTGTGTGAGGTGTCTCTGACTGCTGGGGGTCTCTCTGTCTGTGGATCTCAATCCAACAGAAGCTGTCTGGAGCCCTGGCAAGTCCTGAGCCTCCCTTTCCTCCTTCCTTGTCCTCGTGTGTATTTATAGTTCATTTTATGTTGACTAGATTATCTTTATAACATAATTTATTATATGACTTGGACCGTACGCGCGCTCTGATTGGCTGATTACCGGTCTGGTATTTTCCCATCTCGGACCGTTACCATGACAATTGGTCCGAACAGCGCGTATCACATTTGATATCTTTCCTCGGACCGTTACCATGATAATCGGTCCACAGCCCGTATCACACAAAACCAAGTCGGACACGAACATACTTCACAAATATCTCAAAAGCATTGGTAAAGACACAGACGAGAGTCATATAATAAAACATTTATTAACCTTGCTTGCTCGGTCTGTACAGAGACCCATACGGACCTCGCGCTCGGTTAATAAGCCTATTGCCCATTTACTAGTCTTTTGTGGTAGTTGTGGGGGAGGTTCTTTATCCTCTCTGATGGTAAAGCTGCCCTTTTGGTAAAAAAGCTTCCAGTTCTTGTAAATTCCTGGGTAGCCTTGCATGAGCTGTATATTTCATATCTCCACAGATTGACTTGTCTATTTGACAATATATTTCAAGTGTGAATCCTTGTTAACAGCAGAACAAGATATATTTATGACATATCAGAGAATGCTGACATGCAAATGTGTTCTAAATTAGATTGCAGTTAAGGTAAATTCAACACTAGATAAGGGACATGATATGAATGTTAATTAACCCCAAACTAGTGAAATAAATGATATGAATTTACATTGCAGTATGGAGGCTTCCCTGTGGCTGAACAGAATGACATAGACTTGCAGGAGGAGCTGAGGGACACTCTCCAGAAATGATTCAAACAACTTGAGCATGCTCAGGTCGGTGGCCATACAAAACAAAGTGTGATGCTTCTCCCTGTGCTCCTCGCGGGTGAGACTGTGGTCTGACCGCCACAACACGCCAAAGCCCTTCTTCAGCAGCTGGTAATACCTGACAACAAGCACAACACAACAGAGCATGTGTTATTCTGAGCACACGCGATTCCATTCATATTTCACATGACTCAATCTGCCTCACTGTGCCAAAGTGGCCATTCCTGTTTGCACATACACATTTTATTACACTATAACAGATAACATTTTGTACAGCTGGACGATAGGGCCTTTACAACATGTACTAACATTACCAAAGCAAACAGCTTGCAAGAAATTATAAATGCAAAATAAAAAAAACATTTTGACTGTCTTAAATTTGTTCCTCATTCCTAGGTGAGAATGTTCCCCCTTTTCTTTCCTCTTTCAAAACAAACTATGTTGCTTGTTTCATTGGGAAATCTTGTTTTAAGACGCTTAAAATTGAAGAAACTGTACATTTTGCATATATTGAGCTTTTTTGACTTGATTGTGGTTTTTGTAGTGCACCAAAAAATCACCAAGTTATGCCAAGAATGAAAGCTACTGAATGCAGGTCTATGAATGTCTAACATTTTGAGGAATATATACAGTATACAGTACAAACATATTTGAATGAAGCAGTGGTTATGTTGATTTTGGTACATCTTGACTGTCTTATAGTTGTATAGCATATATTTCAGCCTTATTTAGTTTGGCCTTCTGACCCCTAACCTTAACCCTAACCATATAAAACTTACACCAGTCTGGTTTAAAGACAGTCAATATATGATCAGCCCTTTTAAATACTGCACTTACTAACATCCCAAACTTACAACATACTAAGAACACCCCAAAGATTCGATTATATATGTTTGTATATCGATTATATATATCTGTATATAAACAATGACATTATATCCTTAGCTAAATTAATAATAAATCATTTTAATCATTTGACTCATAGCTCTCTTTAGTTTGAAAACATTTACCTGGTGAAGATTCCCAGACAGAGCAGATGAAGTGTCCCCAGTCCAGCTTTAGACAGGCCGGCTATTGTAGTTTTCCCATTGGGGTTTATAAAAATGTCATTTGTGTCATCTATGTACCAAGCATAGCTGAAGATCTGAGACACCAGCAGTCCGGTCAGCATGAAGCCAAGAGTAAGTCCACTCCACAGATAATGCTTCTCTTGGAAATATCTCATTGTGAGGCAAATGTCCGTCCAGATGTCCGCAGCATACAGACACAAGCTGGCTATGGTCATCCCCCATCTCAGCTTTGTGTACTCACTGTTTGAGGTAGACATTGTATTTGAATTGATTCACATTGTTACTGGGATATCCTGGTTGAGTTGTGTTGTTCCTGCATTTTTAGTCCATGTGGATGTCTGTTTAACGTAAAAGAAAACAGGTTTAAAACAATATTCTGTTATGTAAGCAGAAGGTTTTTATTTAAAGCTCTGTGCATATACATATGCAAAAGTATATCTGATAACCGCCCTTTCACAACGACACAGCCTGATACTCACATAAACAGCAGGAAGAAGAATAAAAAACCTGTACCTTAACATAATACCTCAATATACTATCTATGAAATGTTAGTACATAAGTGAACTGCCATGTTCTTTCAATAGCTCACTCACCAACAACAACTATGTTTAGTTCTTTCAATCCTCTTATCATAAAACATGACTGGTTTAAGTATTGTTAATACTGATTCAAACACAAGTCTAAAAGTCTGCTGTATTTACTTACTGTTGGTTCCATGGCGACATCTGACCACAGCAGCTGCACGTTTTCACAGAAATGGTGGAGACTCCACCTCGGAAGGAACTGAACTGTCAGACAAATATGTCATTACATAATCACACTGCAGACTACCGGCTCATGGGTGTGTTTTGTGCTTATGGACGGGAATAATTGTTTAGTTTCTTGTATTTAATAAGTTGGATCAATGAAAGTTTGGAAGTAAGTAAGGACTCTAATACAACATTGTTTATCCCAAGAATATCCATTGTAAAATATATTGAATAGTAGAGATCATGTTTAGATATAAACTTTGTGACTCAAAAGTCTATAGTCAACTATTATTCTTTCATATTAGAACACATATTAGACACAGGAGAGCAGACAGTTTTAAGAACAGAGCAAAACGCTTGCAGTGAAACTGTTGGCCTTGTTAGTTCTTGTTAAAGACTATACTTTCACACCTAGGGTTATGCTGCTCAGCCACTTTGCTTGTGTTTCAGTTTGTTTGTTTGTTGTCAATTTGTATTCAATTTAAAAATAATAATAATAATAAATAAAAAAATATATATATATATATATATGCAAACAGACACACAGTTTGTCCACAGCCCTGTTCCACTGTCAGTTAAAGTCAGCAAGACAGCGAGTGAGAGGGCTTCCACCTTGTAACAACCACATTTTTGGTGGACATAAGCTACCAATAAATGTAATTCAGAGGAAGAACCAGGGGAGAGCACAACATGAGGGCAGACAGGAGTACCAGCCACCATCTGCTAGACCTGAGCTGGGTACTCCCAGGTCCTGTGGAAGTAGGTCCCAACCATAGTCCCAACAGTGCCACCGTGGCACAAAGTACAGGTTGGATTCAGATTGCGCCTCTTGTTGTAAAGTCTGCAGACTCATATGGAACTGTCTGAGATTTAAGGCATGGCTTCCACTCCAGATAAATATTGTGATGTCAATGTGTAACCTGCGTGTCCCAATATAATAATATTAAAAATGTTATTATGTTATATTAATAGTGTCAAAATTTACAGTCTATGGCCCCAATGACAGTGGCCATGGTGGGATCACAAGACTAAGAAAATCAAATTAATTTCTTAACATAGGGTTTGAGATAAGATAAGATAAACCTTTATTTGTCATATTTGCGCACATTACAGCAGAATAGAAGGAGATTTAAGAGCATTCAGATTATGGACACAACAAACAGGATCTATTACCAGCCAACCCACCAACCTTTCTTTGTGGAGCGCTTTTCCTGCAAAAGGTAACACGAAGCGCTTCACAGACCATACTACATAAGGCATAAATCATAAACATAAAAACACAACATCACATGGAATACATGACAAATACAAATACAGAAATTATAATCACTCAAGGGAATAAAATGATAAATAACCACGGTGCATAGAGATAAGTAGAGATAATATTTAAGATCTTTTGTTTAAAAAAAAATTAAATAAATAATAATAACAATAATAATAATAAAAAAATAAAAACTTACCTAGCCTTCCTTTTGGTCCGACTTTCACACAAAAATATGTGCTGAGTGCCCCTAGTGCCAGTGGTAAAACTTCAAATAGAAGTTTTCATTGACAAGCGTGAAATCATAGAAATATGTGCTTGTCCATGACTCCGGACATGTAGGAGGCGCTAGAGAGCTGTGCAGTGGTTTGTCCGTAGGCGCAGCGGTTCTGGACCCTCCCATCAGCACAAGAGTGACACGCCATTCAATCGCAGCTGCTCGCCTCTGATGCTCACCGGAGGCTGTGTGAGTATTCATCGCCATCTCTAACCACAATTACACAGCTGTATTTCACAAGAAGCGACTTCGTTTCCAAGAAGAGAAGCCAGAAGTTTCCCCAAACCGGTCCGCGATGGGGATCCGAAAGAAGACCACGAACAAGAATCCCCCTGTGATGAGCCATGAGTTTGTGATCCAGAACCATGCAGACATCGTGTCGTGTGTGGCCATGGTGTTTCTGCTGGGGCTGATGTTTGAGGTGAGTCTGGCGCACATGGTTCCGGAGTTTGGACCGGGGTCAGGGCTGAGGTAGTCCAGAGAGTCTGCAGAGTCCGCACACACAGCCTGCAAACTGACATGGCTGTCTCATCTATTCTTTACTCTACTTCCTCTCAGGAGCCAAAAGTGTGTACGCGATCAACTAGTCTGGTTGTTATTCTCTGCATGTGCACTGGTTCCGAAGCCGTGATTAGTTGTTTAAAAGGGACAATATTGTGCAAGTCTTGTCTGGCTTAACTTGGACGTACGCGCAGATGTGTTACGTGGCAATCACACAGCGAGCTAGAGGACTTGTCATCACTACCAACAGGGAAGCTGCTGTTAAGTTGAGTCCAGTGTGTAAACTTGTTATTTATTTACCCCTGTCTCTCCTAGAAGGGCCCTGGATGTTTTACATACAGCTGCTCTTCCCCACATTTCTGTACAAGTTCATATTTGTGGTGTTTCGTTTTGCAAAGCGGCGCCACAGAATGAAGCTAAACTCAAAACACCTACTTCCGGTGGTAGCTTTTCAAATTAAAGTTTTTTTATGATGGGAATTCCATCGTGACGTACGCTCCACCTGGAATGCACTATAAAATAATGTCTTAATTATACTCTATGCTAGGCCCATTCAACTTGTGGCTCAGACCTCTCAAACGCCCATCTTACAAATATTATTGATCTTTGTCAGTCTCAAATGAAATTGGTCCATATTTTAAAAGAATAGCAATATAAAAAGAGAAAAAGCAATACAGTACAGTCAGTCAAAGTAGATATATAGATGGTAGTGTTTCTGCCCAGTGCTTTCTAAGAGCCGGGATGGAGCAGCTCATTATACAGTTAGTCTGAATAATATATTATTTTTTTCTAAATGTTTTGTCCTAGTTTAAGTTGTGGTTTTAAATTTACAAAAAGCACATTGTTGCATTGGTATGGCTCAGAAACCATGGTGCTCTGAGAAATCTATAGAAAGGTACTACCAGTTGAATTGTATTTTATTTTGAAATGTTACATCCTGCTTTCACTGATTTTGGTGACGATGCAAAAGACTTTATAAAATATAAATAGAAAAAAAGTAGAACGTAAAAAAGTGTAATTAATATCTGTATTTATTAAGAGTAATAATTACAAATTGTACAAAGTAAACAAGTTCTGTATATTGTTTGTGTGTGCCAGACTTCTGTGCACACATTTTAAACTACAGAGATGCTAAGCAAAATCTAACCAAATTAGATTTAAATGCACCCATTATAGCTGAGATCCTTTATGTCAAATATAGCTTAAGTCCTTGAATCTGCCGGTGTGAAATTTTTCTTGACAATGTGACTATTGTTTTTAACATATGTTTGTTTAATGTGCAGTTTATATTGATGAAAATCCGCTCTTGGTTTACAGATCACATCAAAGTTTGCAGTGTGCTTCATAACCATCCAGCACAATGTCACCATAACAACAAATGGTATGTAAAATGTTGAGACTATATATTTGGTTTTTTTTGTATTATAAATCTGCCTTTTTGTCCCTCCTGTGTTTCAAAAGCTCACTTTGCAGCTCCCTTTCTCTTTAGAACTCGTCTGCATGATTTCAGTTCAAAACATAGGCCAGGTTAATGTCTTCCTTAAACAAGTGCCACACCAGACTTTATTTACAGTGCGTTTCAACTTGCTGACGGTGTGTAATCCTTATCACTTTCCACGTACCACTAGCTACCTTCCTGTTACTTATTTACTGCATGTTTAAACAACAATGTTGAGATCTTTTTGATCTTTTTTATTCTCAGAAATTAGCATGTTTGATATGGGTATGCAATTATTATTTTTTAATTCCATGTTATCTTTTGACTATTTGAGGCTTAGACCTGAGAGCGGATTGGCTGAGTAAGGATGGTCCTCTTTTTAACATTTGTCTGAAAAACTTAAACTAGTGATAGGACCAATGTATTTGTGGTTTGAAAGTTGTGTACCCTAGCGTTAATCTGACATTCTAATGCATGCTTTTCATTTATTTTCACTACAGAGGGCCCCGATCAGACGACTATCAATCATTTTCAACACGGTATCAAAGATTTGGCCACCATCTTCTTCTATATGCTGGTTGCTATCATCATGCATGCCATCATTCAGGAGTACGTGTTGGATGTGAGTATTATGCAAATACTGAAAATGGGAATGCATTCGAAATGGTAAAACCGTACTTTGAATCCCTCGTTTTCGAATGTGTAGAAAATAAACAAGAAGAAGCATTTCTCCAAAACGAAGCACAGCAAGTTCAACGAGTCTGGACAGCTCAGCGCCTTCTATCTGTTTTCGTTCAGCTGGGGAGCGAGCATCCTTGCGTCTGTAAGTGTGACAGCAAAAAGCCTGTGATTATAACAGTCTTGCCGACCGCAGAGTCTAAATCACCGACCTGCTTCTGTGTTCTTAGGAAAACTTCTTGTCTAACCCAGTCAGCCTGTGGGAAGATTATCCCCACATTCTGATGCCGTAAGTGCGCCCTCTTCTACTGTGTACCGCATGCATTTAGCAAAAAAGTCTCAACACAGCCTTTGCTTTGTTCAAACTGTACAGGAGCGAAGCACGTACAGTTTGAATGTGACCACTTTTTTTTTTTTTTGTGTTTTGTGGTGACTCAGGTTTCAGTTGAAGTTCTTCTACATTTGTCAGTTGGGCTACTGGTTACATTCTCTTCCTGAACTCTACTTTCAAAAGACAAAGAAGGTGAGTGCGTTTTTGCAACTTTCTAGTTTTAGACACGAGCAGCATTTTAGCCATTTCCTGATTATCTTCCTTGTTTATCTTGAACGATTACAAATTGTTCCCTCGTTGTTATGTTGTGAAGCCGAAGCTACACGTTTGTAAATATTTGACCTGTTCTTTGTGTGTTTGCTTCAGGAGGATATTCCACGTCAACTTGCCTACATCCTCCTCTACCTGGTCCATATTGCAGGCGCATACGTTTTGAAGTGAGAACAACAAATAAACATTTAACGGTCACAGAAGTTTAAACATAGGTCTTGTTCACTGCAAAAAATGATAAAATATTGGGTAATAATTTGTTTAAATCAAGTGGTTTGCCAGTGGAACAAAGCCATTTAGTCATAATTCTGTTGGAAACATTTTAGTATTTTTTTAAAAAGAAAATAATTTAGCTTGTTTATGTTTTGAGGCAAAATGCACTCAAATATAAATGCATTTTGCCAAATTTGAGGCCTTTTTTTGCAGTGTTGGGTTATGTTCAATATACTTTTTCAAATATAGAGAAAATGTGTTTTTGCCCCATAGCTTGAATCGCCTGGGATTGGTTTTACTGGTCTTGCATTACTTTGTCGAACTGCTTTTCCACATTTCTCGCCTTATCTACTTCAGCAATGAGAACCGACAATTTGGGTAAGAATTGAACCAACAAAAGAGACTGGCTTTCATTCAGGGCATACTGTATAATTTCTGGCTTTGTGCTGTAGGTTCACCATGTGGGCAGTCTTGTTTGTCCTTGGACGCCTGCTCACGCTATCCCTGTCTGTTCTCACGGTTGGATTCGGCCTTGCCAACGCTGAGAACCAAGGCTTTGACTGGCCTGCAGGAAACTTCAATATACTCTTTACTAGGCGAGTAATATTCAAAGTATTGTAGTAGTCTGGTGTATGTAACACATTTTGGTAAAGGCATAGTGTTCACTCTTTTAACTAAAGAGGCAAATGAGAGAGGCAAAAAGTGAAGCTATGATTTGGTTTGTGATTGAATTATATTTGGAACAATATCTTCTTATGTGCTGTATTTTAGATTGTTTACACACACGCGCACACACACACACACACACACACACACACCTTTTCATGCATAGTAAATTGCTGCCACACTCTCCCCCGTTCAGATTGGACAGAGCTTTGTTCACTATCCATATCTGCACTGGGCCCCTGTGCTCCCCCACGCATGTCCCTGTAGATAACACCTGTTTAAGCAACTAATAGTCTGTCTTGGGGACTGATGCAGCAGATTCTGGGCACAAATGCTTCCGGTATCTGAAATAAGTGAGGGAAGAACACGCGTCAAAACATATCTCTCTCTGTCCATAATTCTTTCAGGGGGCTCTGTTCACTTGAAATGGAAATGGCTTGGAATGCCATTAGTCTGGGGTAATATTGTGCTTCTTTCTTTTATAGGATCACTGTGCTCGCTGCCATCTGCTTTACCCAGGCCTTTATGATGTTGAAGTTTATCAAATTTCAACTGCGCCGGTGGAGAGAGCACGCTGAAGCCCAGAGTCTCAAGAAGAAGCAGGTTATCAACAAGGGAAAATCAAAGAAGGAAAAGGGTAAATCCAATTGCTTTTAATCATCCCTGACAGAATGGTTAAATAATAATTCCAATAGTTTGTATTTATTTTAGCCTGTGCATGTGTAAATGCTGTATTGTTTATTTTCAGCTAATGGAGTTAATGGAGTCAATTCGCAAGATTCACCGAGAGCAAGGAAAGAGAAGTCCTCATAAGAAAGCAATCATTAAATGGTTCCTGCATCTCCCCATGCCCGTTGCAGACCTATCCATAGATCCACTGGCTCTCGGCTGTGGTATGCCTCGTCAGTGCCGCTGGATGTGCACGCTCACTTAGATCTTGCCTGTTGGAAGCTGTCCAACATGCCTGGGTTCAAAATGCAGTGTGCTGTTGTGCCATCTGGAAAAAGGCCACAAATTTAACTGAATTCAAAAGTGCCTATTGATAAAGACATTTGCTGTGGCATTGTAATTTTAAGAATGTCAGGTCAATTTGTACTTCTCCTAAAAATACAAAGCATTCCAGTTTTACTTTAGTTTTGTCTGATAGCTTGCCATCACACGGTCTCTTGCTGCTTTTTGATTTATACATTCTATGTTCTATCTTTCACTGTTTTTGTTACATTAGGACAAATGTTTGTATTCCAGATAAAAGGGTTTATCAAGATCATCACGGATACAGTAGGTAATAAGATCAGTCTGCAGAAATATTGTCATGAAATGATTCAAAATGCTGAATTGCTTGCAGCTATGATAACGTTTTGGGCTTCTGTTTTGAATTACAAGTGACTAACATTCCTCTTTGAATGTCATTCTCCTCACTTGTATGATTCCATTTTTGCTGTTGTATATTTCATGATTTTGCCTTGATGTAAAAACAATGCTTGAAAATTTGAATTAATTATTTTCATACTACCAGAGACTGTGCCAAACCAGGAGTATACTGATTGGTTGTTAAGTTATGCCTTCGATATGCATATGGAATAATTCTGCTTTTATAAGCTGCACTAGCTCTCATTGTACAGTCCAAACCTATGAAATGTCACTGTCATCTGAGGGGTATCTTAGACTATATTTTCTGCAGGATTCACCTGTTATGAAAATAATACAATGTTTTATTGAATCATTTGCATTGGGTGTTTTTACTAGCTGAAGTGTCCCACAACAGTATATTATAGTAAAATATTATTTTTATTGTCAGAAAGGATACCTGTTTTCACCAAAAAGGCAAGGTCGAACATAAGTTTCTGTTTCACGAGTAAAAGTTACATGGACACAGTAAACATCGGATTGTTTTACAAGTTGAACTCATGGTGGCACTATTGCACATATTTTAAGTGGTGGAAACGCCTGCTGTTTGATGCATGGACAGTGGACCAGGCATTAAACCAAGGTAAATAAGTAGGCCACTGTTTATTTCTTCACAAATAGCAAACAATCTAATAGACAAGTAATCTATTGTAAAGACATGTAGTCTTTAGAGTAAAATGACTACATTAAACAAATCTGACACTAATAAATGAGTATCTTTATGCATATAATATATATATATTTTTAAATCAGTTTAATTTAAATGAGAGATATGGATTACAGTAGATGTATAGGCAAATAGAAGACCTGTTAATACTTGCTAAAATATGTTCAGTATTCACTAGTTAACAATAACAGTAGTGGCAATATTGTGTTTTTCGTTGTCATTAGGTTGTTAAATAGCATGAGGTTTAATATCCCCATAAAGTTAGCTCTATGGCGTGAAGTATGTGACAGTTTCGCACAGCTGATCATGTAGTGGAGGCTGTTTTGACATTAGATATTCCAGTGACATAATTGAAATGTTACTAGTCATCAAATATCTGCTCGGTGTGGTGCTGTGCTCTAAAAGGTAAGTCCCGGTCTCTGGGCTGACGCAGAGTGACGGACGGAGCCTGTGATACCGTGAGCCCGTGATACCGTGAGCCCGTGATACCGTGAGCCCGTGATGTGGTCCGCTGTGGGGGAGGATAGCAGCTACCAGATAAACACTCTGCATTGGTTTGCAGAGCAGGAGTAACATGGCGGCACAGTTAGCCAGCAGAAATGTTTCACTACCGCGAAGGTCAGAACTCTTGCTTTTAAACGGGATTTAACAGCGACGACAGACACCAAAGTATTTCAGTGTAAGTAGCCACACACGTCTTTGCTGTTTGTCCACACGGCGCTTGATGTTTTGGTTGTAAAATCTATGCGATGTCTTCAATCTCGGTTGTGTGTCTGTCTGGCACAGGCTCTTGCTTCAGTGTTAGCTTATTAGCAACCGTTAGCTTCTTGGCTAAGCTGTCTGCCCGTGTCAATAGTGTTTTCTGCAGCCAACTACATTACAAGGCTAAGACAGCGGGCTTGTGGGGGGAATCCTGCTCGGTGTTCTGTGTCCTGACAGTAAACGCACGAGTGGACTCATGTGTTCCCTCGATGAAAAGTAAATAAGTGCGTGCACAATAGTTTCATATGTCATTGTTTTTTGTGCTGAGTGAGCGAGTGACCGTGCAGACGACACCGGGCGAAGTTCGTCAGCAGCAGCAGGAGTTAGCATGCTAACTCAGGCTGCAGGCTGGACTGGGGGAAAACGTGACTTTCAGAGCACATATTGACATTTTCACTCTTAAAGGGTTTAACTCGGCGGTACTCCGAGCAATGCACTTTTGCAACTTGGTTTCATCAGCTGTACTAGATCGCCCGCTGTGGTGGTTAAGTGGCTCTAGTCTCATTCAAGCTCATTCAAACTCGATGATAGTATTTGACTAAACTGTCCGTAAACACACCAGAAAAGTTGTGTTGAGAATGTTGTTATTACATGCCCTGTTTAAGGATCTGTTGTTATCGGCTCTTCAAATGCGCCAAAAGTTGTAAGAAATCCGCATAGCTTGGTTAAAGATGACATGGCTGGCTGCTCACTGTGTACGTGCAGGTCACACTTGGTTGTTATAAGAAAAAGTGTAATAATAATGTTGTGTACGGTCAGCGCTTCCCTGTCAAATGCAGAAACTCCTTGTGGAACCAGTTGAGCAGTTTCTGTAGTATGAATATGTCCACCTTATGGTACACACCATTTGTGTTACAACACCATCACTGGCACTTCTGTTTGCTTCCAGATCTGTATTGCCTACATGCCAGTAATTTATCATTTTCAAGATCTACTGTCTGTATATGTTCACATTATTTCCTAACTCTCCACCTATATGTATACAATTATACATAGGAAATGGTTGTCAAAATAAAACAAATCATAATCATTAAAACGACATGAACTATTTATCTTTCATAGATTGACACATCAACTAATATAATACAATGTGTGTCTCAGTGCAAAAAGTACAAACTTAAAGTCAATAAAACAGTTGAAAAATAAAATGGAACCATCTACTAATATGTTCTATCTATCTATATCTATATCTTATTCTCACTTTATGCATCTTCAAAATGAACCTAAACTCATAGATATAGTGACACTATCCCAATCTCTGTGTACAATTATGACCCAACATATTTTGCTTTTACATTCATCAGAAGTGAGTGTGTGTGTGTCGGTATTGTCATTGTTGAGGAATTCAGCACACCAAAATATGAGCTGGTATGTGTATGTTTATTTAAGTGTAATCGAGGGCAGCTTTTCTCACGCTTCATGTTCAGCAGTCGACTCCATGACCTGGACATGTTCTTTAAAACTATGGTAAAAAAGTGACTGTTTTAGCTCTATCTAGTTAGATTCTGGTAATTTCATCAGCAGTTTGCGATTGGAACTAAGTCCTTCTTGTTGTAATCACTGACCTTTGCCCGTTGCTTCATTTCAGCAATTCTATATTTTGACCCTTACTCTGCTGAATACTGCCAGTCTGTTGGTGTTGGGGCAATAATACGTATATTTTCCATCATAAATAGTGAACAAGATGGACCGAACGAGAGTCAACTGGGATAATCACACCTGAGTATTCTTTGAAGCGTGTCATTTCTGTAAATCCTTTGATAATAAGTTTGTAGTAAGCCCAAACACTGTTGTTGCATCAAAACAGCTGCAGTATTCACAGGGGATGCTCGTTCTATGTTTTCCCTAGGCACGCTCTGTTTTTATATAATTTACTAAATGCATCTCTCCTGTCTCCACATCAGCCTTTTCTTATAAGATTACCTTTATTTATTTGAGGTAAGATGGAAAATGACAAGCTTGTCCATGCTGCTGAAATTCTGTAATACCTCAGTAAAGATCTGTGTTTTTCACACCATGCCCCAATATCTTTTACTAATTATTCATTGTTTTGGTTTGCCCAATATCACTAAATGCCAAGTTTTAGGGCTGTCAATATTTAGTTGTTTGGTCAACTAAATGGTGTGTTAGTCAACTAACTCTTGTGAAAATGACTGAAAACTCATAGGTGTTTACTTTAACTTTCAATCAGTGCCCTCATTTTAGGGACTAATGGATGTGCAAGGTAGGGCCTGAGGCTAAACTAATTTTGATGGTAAGTCAGGAGTACAGCATGTTTTCACCTCACTCATGTGTCCTTGCTTTCACTTTGATTGGTTTTGGCAATCAAAATTTAGTTTTTGCTATACGTTATTTTCTTTTATATTTAGTTTGAAGTATTTGGAAAACATTGAACTGGGAATCGAGATCAATCATTTATAGGAACTTTATATAATTTCCCCAAATTACCCCGCCATATTAGAAAATGTGTTTGAGACAGAACCCCTTTAGAATAATTAAAAATAATATGATTCAATGAATGCAACCACTGATGTTATGTTGGATGAATTACTGAACACACAAAATGAGAATTTGTTGAAGACCATTTTTTAATTCAGTCTTTAGATGTGAGAAATCGTGATGATCTGGGTCATGGTTCCACAGTGACATGGTCAAATACAGCCGGCAGCCTACACGCTCTTCACAAGTAAACTTGACAGCATTGTGAGGTGTTTATCTTCCCATCTCCTATAGGGTCTGTCCGTTGTGTGCTCTTCCTGTCACCGCGCTCCCTCCCCCAGCACATACAGTATGTGTGGTGCCTCGTTTCACCGGGCATCTCACCCTGGTCTGCGTGCACATCGCCATGGAAACAGTGGTTGTGACAGGTCTTGGGTGGGCGTGAGGAATGAGCTCGGGGTAATGGGCAGGTTTCTTCCACAGAGCGGAGGGAAGACGACCGATAGCGCTGCTTCCTCAGAACGCTGTGAAGGGCTGTGACGCGGAAGAGGCAGAGCGCTTAACTCTCATGACTGCGAGGCTCCGAGGCACATCGTCATTGTGCCGCTGCAGCTGACCTCAAATCAGCCGTCCTGTTAACTGTGCTGGAGAGGCCTGTTTTGTACTGGGCTTGTGTTTGTTGAACACTGAGCCGGTTTCACTCACTCGCCAGTCCAGAAGAGCCTGTCATGTCCAAACAATACCAGATCCGGAGTTCACTTACTTGCACTGTTCCCTTCAATGGCTTCTGATTTACTGCTTATAGTATTAATAATCTCAAATGTTAAAAGATTGTATAGACCTAAACTGCTGAAGTTTTTTTTATCACTCAAGATGAATATGTCTTTGTATATAAAAACATGCATAGTCACTGACCTTGCAGGATCTAAATCAAATAATTGGACAAATATTAAATAAAACAATTGTTAGTTACGATTATTTGAACATTGATACCCCATTAAAATAAAATTTATTTGTTGTTTTTACCATACACATGCTATAAAGAGGCCTCTGATTGTGATTTTATTTATTTATTATAACATTTTGGAATTATTTACCAGATTTTTGTGAATGAGGCAAATATTGATTATGAAATGAATGTTAATTACGTAGACAATACCTAATAATATATAGTTGAAAATTGACTTGAAATTCATATGACCTGACAAAACCTTCAAAAGACTTTAGTCTTTAGCACTGAGCTTTAGCAGGTGTATCCTTTCTAGGTATACTTGGGAATGTTAGATTGTTTCCCCTATTAATATTTATTTTTTTGTCTAGCTGTTTGCATTAGTGCTGTTGCCTATGGCATGTGTTTGTAATGTACATTAGGGCTATAACTCAGGATTTAAAAAAAATAATCATTGATAAACCAAGCAGTTATTATTGTTGTATTGGCGGAGAATATAATTATTTCAATTTGACCCAGATAAAGCTGAAGTATAGAAGGACATCCTATCTCTGATTTAATTGTTTTATCTTGCAATTACTGCCCTGTTTGTTACTATGATGCTTGATGTTTGTAGTTTGTGTACTCCAGTTACTGAATAATCAATTTCTAAAATAGTTTACAATTTATTAAAAATGTTTTTGTTAGAATTTATCAATTATTTGTTACGGCACTATATCACAGTACATGAATCTGTTTTGTCACAATGCCTTAAAACTACAGGTTGAGGTGATCTTCAAGCAAGTGCGTTCTTTCGTCTATATAGGTCAGCCGCAGCAAAGTGCATATTGATCCAGAGAGCCAAATGATATTGTGCCGTCTGCTGCTCAATGCTAAGGTGCCCTCATCTAGTTTGGCCTGATCCAAGGAGAGGTCACATGACTGCCAGTGCGACAATGCTTTTCCAGCTGTAGTAATTGTAGCTGTAGTTAGGCTTTTCCCGATAGATACAATATGAATTAATTAATTCTTGATCAGTAAAAATGCACACAATGACAATTTCAGATCTGTGTCTGTGCCGCATGTATATTTGCTTTTAGAGCAGGATGCCGAGATGCTGTGCATTGGTGCACCATGAACAGGTCTCTTCACTTTTAAAGAAAAGTGTGAGCTCTGGTGAAATCATGCTCAGAACACCTCTCCAAGAAGACGTCCAGGAAGCATCCGAGCCAGATACCTGACCCATCTCAATTGGCTCCTCTTGATGTGGAGAAGCAGTGGCTCTATGCAAAGCTCCTCCAGACTGCCCAACCACCCTGTGGAGGAAACTCATTTCACCCTTACAGTCATTCCCCAAAGCTCATGAGGGTAAATTGAGAACTTTGCCTTTCGACTCTGCTCCCTTTTCACCACAACGGTCCGATACAGCGACTGTATCCCTGCACACGTGACACTGATCGATCTGTCAATCTCACACTCATGAATAAGACCTCAAGATACTTGAACTCCTACACTAGAGGATGGACCTCTCTGCTAACCTCTCTACTATT